TTCTTGACTCTTCATTAGCACTCAAGGTCAAGCATGCTGTATTTGACAGTCTCTGGAACAGCTTTTTACTTTTGAGCAAGAGGGTCAGAGGGGCAGGAAATCAGGAATAAGTTTTCAACTTGCACAGCTATCAATGGCAGGAAGTTCCCTGGACTGCAGCTCCTTCATTTTCATTTCTCTTTCAAAGTTTAACAACTTTATTTCCAGATGGGGAGTGAGTGCATTAGAAAGAATGGAAAGGCAGTCTTCTTTAACACTGGAGCTTTCAAATATTTGTGACCCAAAAGTGGGGCTAAGGTGGCAAACAATAAATAGATCAGCAAAGGCTACTTCCTTCATCATCATTATCAAGATGCCATCATTTCAAGAGCTGTCATTCTAGATGCCCATGGCCTTGTTGGGGAGCCATTCCTTACAAACAAGAGGAAAATGCTTCCCACAGTACTGCCAACAACTTCAGTGTTACCATTATTTTGGCCCCTCTCTGAAGATGGAAATGAATTTAGTAACTTACATTGCTATTTTGAAATGAAAAATAGTTAATTGTCTTCTATTTAAAGTCTAAAATTTCTACTGGGCTACCAGACCTAGAACTTAATAAGATCCTCTTGTAATGTGTTACTGTTTGACAGTGGATCCTGGGGCAGCGGCATGGGGGGAGTTTGAAGGCACTCATCTCCCCATATCACAGCCTTCTTGAAAAGTCTCATAGAAAATAAATACAAGAAAATATGCAGATTTTAAGAAGTAATGAAAGCAGAACAATGATTGCCTTGGGGTGGCGGATGGGGAGGAGCAGGAGACAGATTATCGACAGGCAGAGGAAAGGTTTGGTGGTGATGGATTTCATTATCATGATCGGGGTGAGTGTGAAGAGTGTACATATACATCAAATGTATCAAATTACTTGTTCATATATGTAAAGTTTATGTCAGTTACACCTCAATAAGCTTGAAATGACTGAAAAAAGATTCCAGCAACCACATCATTTCTGAAAGAAATAACTAGATGAGGATAATTAGAGGGTATAGGGAAGCTGGTGCCTAAAATAAAAGTCATGGTTTTAGCATTCTTCTCTAACAGTAAGTTGTTGCTTACCTCATTTAGCTTAAAGTATGAAGAAACAGGTGGACTCAAATAGAACTATGCCTTATTTTCTGAAAACTCAATATTCCTCTCATCACAATAGCCCTAGTTTATATTTAGAAGGAAAGTATAAGAACAAAAATTGCAGAAAATAAAAATTCTTGTTTTATGGTTTTTTCCCTACCAGTCTGAAGATGCCAAAGAAATTTTAATAATATGTGATTATGGGGCAAATTTTAATCCACAAACATTCAATACTGCTCCACAGAGACTATATGCAGTTTTTCAGGATTGATATATTACCCTGCAATTGTACATACATATTGCATATTTTCCCCATACTCAGTGACACAGTGCAAAAGAATAGATGTGTATCCCTGTCCTTCACTATGTCAGGACCAGAAGGAAGAAGAAAAATGATAATGGTTTTGGGAAACAAAAGGATGCATGTAACAGACAGGTAACTGCCATCTGTAAGTTGTCTTAATCATGGGGCTTTGTTTACTTCAAATGTGGGGCATATGACTTCATCCCAATGAGTTTTAAAAAATTCTCTTTTTGGATCTCATTTGGAAAGAATCAAAGCTAACCCCTTAAACAATTTACCATTTTTCTCTAATCACGAAGGCTGCGAGAAAGGTCTTACGATTCAGTCACATAGGTATGTTCTCACATGAGTATGCAAGGTATGTTCTCACAGTTGTGTATTAAAGTTAAACAAAGTCAGGTTTAACAGAATAATTCATGCAATGTACACTTTAAATGTACCAATTTTACAAAAGAAATTCAGTTAAAACTTAGAGGATTTAATCCTGTTCTGATAAGCAGTATTTCTACATGACTGGGAAGCCTTTTGAAAACAACCCCCAACAAAACTAAAAACACTTTAATCTTAGCTCCAATTACATTCTTTCCATCTTTCCCCCAAAAGAACATTTCTAGAGCACAAAGTAGATTCATAATTGTTTAATTAGATACATTATATATATCCTGAACAGAATGGCTCCCATAGAAATAAACTAGTATTTTGTACACAAACTCTATTAACTGTGCTACATTCATAATATAACGACTTGAGCCAAGTGCAAACATTTATTACACCCCCTGGTGTGTGAGGAGCTCTGCTCCCACAAACACTTCATTATCTAGGATGATAGGGAACAAGATTAGACAAGATGGATAATTAATTTTTGTAATAACAAAATTGTACATTAGGTTAGGATTATAAAGTCTTCTCCAGCCACAGCTGTAACCAGAACTAAGCAAACCATTGATCAGTTTCCTCTTTAACCCCCTGCCCTCCAAGTGCTCTTTGAGGCAGGAGCTAATGATTGATTAGTGGGACTGCTGAAAGGCACAGGGACCAGAATAATGAAGAGGAGCAAAAGGTTTGGAAAATCAACAACCAGGCATCCTGTGTATTGATGACCCCGTGGTTTCTCTTACTCAGAAAATATATTTGGTAGTTTTTATGTCACATATAACTGATCGGTAATATTAAAAGGTATCTTAGATGAGTTTTATTTTTACAACTGCCTGGAAATTATGGGGTACTTTTAAGTAACCCATGAAAAATAATGACTTAATTTACAAAAAAAAAAAACCCAATAACAGCAAAATCTGAGAGTAAATTTGCACCCTGGGTGGCAGCATATGGGACCAAGATAATTAGTTTCTAGTCGGCCTCTATGAGAGCTGGTGTGTGCCACCGATCTGTTCGTCTAGCCACAGCCAGAGGACCATCATCACTTATTACTGCTCTCCTTAATGACCAGCTCAAAAAGATGAAAGAGCTTATGACTAAATAGCAGGGGAGGTATAAAGATATATTAAGTCCTCCTCTATTTTAGATTGTTTTAGGGAAAAACAAATAAGAAAAGCACCCTTGAAACACAAAGGCTTATATGAAATTCTAAGAAATAAGTCAGGTTTCATCAGGAATGATTTATTCTCTCCTTTGCTATTTAAACTAGTCTCAAAAGCCCCAAATTATGCAGATGAAAATTCCAGACAGAATACATCTCACAATTCTAAAACCACTGTATTAATAAAACGTAAAAAAAAAGGGGGGGGGGAGTGAGGCTGTTACATTAGCATGAACATTTAATAGGGAGATTTGTGAATTGGGCTTTACAGGAATATTATCTAAAACTTAACTGATCACTTGAATTGGGAGTCTAAGGATATCTGAATCTCCAAAGAGATTCTCAGTGTGGGGTATTATACATTGCGGTGCTTTTCAGGTTAGCTCTGACCAGCATTTACCCAACTGACTTGTAGCCTGAACTTATTATCTAGTGTAGGTCCCCTCTGGTAGTTATTCTTTTTCTCCATGACAGCCTGAATGATGCATTACCCTGGTGAGTCCTGGGTCCTCTCGCAGCTGCATGAACGGATACATCCATAGTCACCTAACACCTCACCTTCCTGTTTCTCTATTTGCAGTATGTTTGCTTTGCAGAATTCTTCTTATTTTTAGGCTAAATATTTTGAGACTGTTCAGGAAAGTGCTAGTAAGTGCAGACCAGAATCACTTTAAATAGTATTTAAAGCTTTACCAATTGTGGGAGAACAGACTTCTACGGGGAAGATAGCCGAATTCTAATTAAGTTCTAATTCAAATTAAAGGCATGTATCTCAGGATGCTGATAAAAAGACGGCATGATGAATGTGTAGCAAAAGAATCAATAACAAGGGAAGGATTTTACTACCTCGAGGCAAGACACCTTACAGATTTAAAATGGGAATGAAAGGCATTGAGAATCCTAGGGAGGGTGTTGCTTCATTCAGTGGGATGCTTAGATCTGGTGATAGATTAGGGAGTTTCTTGAGAAGGAAATTTCACTGTTTTTTTAAAAATGTTTATTTATTTTTGAGAAAGAGAGAGAGCAGGGATGGGCAGAGAGTGAGGGAGACACAGAATTTGAAGCAGGCTCCAGGCTGTCGGCACAGAGCCCAATGCGGGGCTCAAACTCGCAGAGGGAGAGATCATGACTTGAGCTGAAGTCGGCCGCTTAACTGACTGAGCCTCCCAGGTGCCCCTGAGAAGGAAATTTCTCTTTAAACCATATGGTACACATGATATAGGGACTCAGATGGAAGGAGGGAGGAGTTTCAGAACTAAGACATGGCTCCACCTAGTGGAGACTCCAGAGTGTTCCCTTCTGCTCTCCACGGCAGTTAGGGTTTGAGAGTGGATGATTGGGAATGTTTTACTGAGGAGAAAGAACACTACAATCAATACCTCATAACAAAATATAAAATGTCAATAACCTTGTTATCAGAGCTTAAAATAACACTTAAAATCCGATGGTAAGACTAAGAATAAAATATATGTAATTTTATAATTCTCTAGGAAAATCTCTCAAGAGATTTTTTTAAACATACAAGCATTTATATAGTCATCTACGTGCAGAAACTCAGGAACACTGATGCAAGTTTCTCACAAAAGCCTCTGAATACTGGAAGAAAAAACAAATCCTGAAGTATGCAAAGCATATGTCTGCCCCCCTCCCCCCCGCCCCCGCTTTTGTTGGGTTGGATAAACTCTTTAGCTTGTTTTCTATCTCTGTCAATAGCAAGGTAGATGCCTAATATGTCATTATGTATTATACAGAATCACTAGCTGAAAATATAAAACTATGATTTTGCATAGAACTCATTGAAACAATGCAAATAAGCCCCTAGTATTCTTGCTTCTGTTCCCAGCGGGTTTCCACTAGTGCTGATGGGCCGGGCACAAGACAGACATGGTTACATTGTGCTTCGCTCAGAAACAGTTTACGCTTACAGCAACTCCTAAGCCCACACAAATTTCCACATGCTTTTTGTTATTTCCTTCTAGGGTTTTAACACGGAGGCCAAGTGTTTAACTCAAATACAGATATTGCCAAATAACAGGGCACACTGTGAGGTTAGGTGGAAGAGGGTTTATTATCGGGTTGCAGGACAGGAACTTGACGAGCAATGTGAATACAGAGATCTACTGAGCACACCTTTTCCTTCTTGCCCTTCGGATATATGATACAGTAGCCAAGAGATCAAAGTAAAGCCTGTGTTGTTTACTTTGTAAAAATCCATGTGTTAGTGTCATAATTGTTCTGATCCCAGAAAGTGAATCATGCCATGATTCAAAAGAGCTGTCCCTCACATAAACCTATGAGCACACATTTAAAAAATGATTTATTGTACATCTTTGCATTTCTTAAGGCATGAACAATGGCGTACAGATGGAACAGGTTCTGAGAAGTTATCACATCTTTTTTGACAAGGTCAGCACAAGTACACCACATCAAATAGACACACTCGAAGTCTGAGCTGACCAGCTGCCGTGGCCCAGGAGCTTCTTTGAGGAGGGGATGGTGCTTCCAGACAAAGGACCAAACGCGTGGTTTATACGTCATGTTGCTTTTTAACTTTCTGGATCAGCTGTAAGCACCAGTTAGTTTGTTTTCTTTATAAACGCTTCAGACTTTGGATTTTATATTCTGCTCCTTTTTTTTTTTTTCTGCTTTTCAAGGAGGGCGTGGATGTTTCTTAAGGGATATGGTTGCAGCAAAACAGAAAGGATCCAAAAGTGGTTAGGGGCCTTGTCTAATGCACTTCTGAAAGTCCATTATAAAGATGAATAGAAAAGCAAATGGTCGGTTTTCAGTCGACCCAGAAACCACGCGGAGCTCTAGGAAACATAATTGTGCATAGTTATTTATTCATTCAGAGCGTGATATGTTGGCTAGCTCTACATTCCCAGTTTACCAAAGAACAGGACTGTCTACTTTGCTAAACCCAGGGTCCTTTCGCAGCTCCCAGTAGGTATCATTGGAAACCCAGGCTTCTCTTTGATTGGCATCAATAACTTTTCTGTGGAAATATAAAAATCGATATTAGATACAAATCGCATCAAGCTGACCTGGTAATTTGACCCTCTTCCTCTCCCGTAGATGAGATGTGTATGTATAAGCGGTACTTTGTAGGCCAGTTAGTTTCCTATCTGCTGATTGATGGCTTGATTATTTTTGATCAAAAAGAAACTCATTCATATTTGTTTTTGTTGTCTGGTTGAAATGGAAGTGGATGGCATCGTGGGGCGAGGGGCTAAGGGCAGGAATAAATCACTTCCAGGAAAGGCTAGAAAGGGAACTGCTTGTGAAAAAGCACATACAGGTTCTGTACTAAGAGCTTCAGGCCCCACACCGACAAGAATAGTCTCTACCTCACTTCTGGGGAGAAGTATACAACCGCAGTAGCTCCATGAGCCTTTGCATGGCCCACGCCCAGAGTGCACCTTCCACACCTAAAGGCAAGGCCGCATTCCTCCCCAAGGCAGTCACAAGATGGCACCTTTAAAGGATATGAGGTTATTCTGAGCTGATATGGCCTGGCTCTGGAGGGCAATGGACGGATTTGGAAAATAGGGCCTAATCTGTGTGATGTCTATATAATCCTGCAAATAATCCTGTGATAACAACCCATGATCACACCACAGGAGGACCAAATCTGAATGACATGAGCCCCATATGACAGAAATAAAATCAAATACTAATGAAGCTAGGATGCCCTTGAGGCCAGTGGGGTCCCATTGGGGCCCTGAGTGAGGGAGTAGAAGCAAGTTTCCACCGTTCCGAATGGTGTAGCTGAAGGACAAAGAGCATTTTGTGCAAGACGCTCAGCCTCACCCTTGCCCATGGAAAAAAAAGAGCTGTTGAGGAGAACTTAGGTTTGTCGTTCCAAACTGTTCACAAGTGCAAAATCTGGCTCAATATTTTCACTACCGAAACCAAAGTGACCCAAATCAGTTTAATGTGAAGTTCCCTGGACACTACACTATCTCTCATTTTCTTTTTTCACCTGGAGTTTCTCACTGCTTGTGGCAATCATTTGCAAATCGTGCACCTGCTGGGGAATGAACCGACTTACTTAAAAAATTTTGGTATGTGTTCAAGGTTGTTTTCTTCCATGTAGCGCCTGCGTGATCTCTGCAGCTCCTCTACTCTTTGCTTCTCTGCTGCCGCAGCTTCTAAATTTCCTTCTTCCAAAAACCTAAGCAGAACACAGTTATCTCTTTAATATATTCATCCTCTTTTCTGAGAATAAAAAATAGTGTCATAGTGTCAGATTACCTTCTGGCTGCTGAGAATATACACGGTGAACAGTCATACTCTGGTTATGTCCCTGGCTCCTGCCCCAGGCCACATTACTTCTGTCTGCCCGCCCACCAATTAACATACTTGCTGTGGATGCCAAGTGAATTATTGCATACAGCAGTGTAAAAGTAGGAATGAAACGTGAGTAGTTTGTATTGCACACAGCAATGTACAGCTTGGAGTGAAAGGTGAGTAGTCTGGCCTTGAAGACTCTTCTGTGCTCTCTCAGGCTTAGGACAATATGAAGCACCAGGTTGTGCTCCTTCTCCATATTATCCAAACAACACGTGCTAGAGCCCAAGGGAAGGACGGCAGCTGGTGGCTCTTCATCTACTTTTAATTTTTTTTTTTTACAAATAGTTTATTGTCAAATTGGTTTCCATATAACACCCAGTGCTCATCCCCACAAGTGCCCTCCTCCATGCCCATTCTTCATCTACTTTTAGAGCAGAGGGGGAGGGAAGGAGTTTCCCTGTATGATTGGCGAGAATAAAACTGATGAAAAAAGAAAAGATAATGGTAGGGGAAATGACAAAAGGCCACAGAAAGGAAAGAAGTCATAAGTGAGATCCAGTGAGGGAACACTGGAATAGAATTGAGGAAGAAAAAGCAGACCCAATGGCGATTTACAAAACCTGTATTTAAATTTCAAAATGAAAGCAAACTTCAGTGTGATACACATGGAAAGTGTGTTGATAAATGTGAATGCCCAACAGTAAGACTTCATGCTCTAGAGAAAGAGGGGGGAATATGAGAGAACTGAACAGTAGGACATTCAATACTGGCTATTGTATTTTGAGTACATCTCATACCCTGTGGGATCAAAACCGTGCTGGGTAAACTCCAGACTTTGACTCAGAGCATCTCTCAGTGCTCCTGCAGCTTATCTTCTTATTCTTCAGGTTAAAGATATTCCATGTTAAAGTGTAATAGAAACAAGGAGGTAAAAACACTGGAGGAGATTTTAGTGGAGCCAGAGTTCATGAATTTGAATACTTTTGGTGTTTTGGGGGCTGGGCGCAGAAACTTTTTGTTAAAAACTGTGTTATCTTGTTTGGACAACTTTTGTTGTGCTAAGCATCTGTTATGATCAGCCACAAATATCGTGTTAGCTAGGGTAGAAAACTCAAATATTGCAGGGAATGAATGAATCATTCAATTAATAAATAAAATATGGTGGTGAAAATAAGCCTCGATGACATCTATAGCACCGCCATGCCATGATCTAGTGTCCATTTCAAATATCAATGCCGCGCTCACCTCTGATCTGGCCGGAATCGGGCGTCTGTTGGTGGAAGGAGATCTTTCAGTACAGGATCTAACTCATTAAGCTCAATAGCAAACCTTGTGAAGCCATAGTAGAGCTCATAGTTGGTTGGCATGGAACCTGGAATGGTGCCAATAAACCACTGTGAGTGGCAAAGAGGTTTAAGGAAGAAGTTTGCAGAAGCTGACTTATTAACCCAGATGCTTAATTAATACCCATACTAATACTTAATTTCTAGTCATAAATCTCAGATTAAGATTTTTCTTCAGTGAATTAAACTGGCTATAATTTGCTAGATGGGAAACTTTTTGTTAATTATCAGAACTGGTAGATTCATATATTTAATAAAATCCAGTCTTTAAATAAAGCTACGTAATAGTAACTTTACGTAGAGCAAAGTTTGATGCACAGTCACTACTCAATAAATAGCAGCTGACTGAATGAACTAACCACTATACTACCAGGAAATTTAAATACTCATTGGGGCCTCTTAGAAAACCAACAACTAATTCTAAAGTTAGGAGTAACTGACAAAATTCCAATGAAAATAAATGCCATGTGGACACTTACTCTATTTACACTTGATACTCAATTATTGCTAGTGTTACTACCAGAACTCTCTTAATGTCTTTTATTAAATGTCAACATATTGAGCTTTTTACTGCTCAAATGAGCAGTAAACTTACTCTGGTTAAGTTATTGAATTTGTGGGTTATAGATGTTTGCAGGGTTTCCCTTGTTTTATTAGAATAGAGAATAAATAAGGATCTCAGTTAGTATAGTTCAGTTGTCTGAATACTTTAATAAATATGTAGCTTTTGAATGTGGGCATTACATTTAGAATGAGTTTACATGAAGCCCGACCTCTGACCACATGTCTGATTTGGCCTAAATTTTAGAATTCCTTATTATCAAATGTTGAGATTTACCTAATTTATATGTTAGGTAAAAAATGTTAACTATATTTGCCTTAAGCATCTATGGTTTTCTTTAAAGTTTGTTTGTTTACTTATTTATTTAGAGAGTGAACAAGTATGGGAAAGGGGGAGAGAGAGGGAGAGAGGGAGAAAAAGAATCCCAAGCAGGCCCAAAGCTGTCACTGCAGAGCCTGATGTGGGGCTCAATCTCACGGAACCGTGAGATCATGACCTGAGCTGAATCCAAGAGTCGGATGCTTAACTGACTGAGCCACCCAGGCCCACCAAGCATCTACGTTTTTAATCTCACTATTAAAGAAAACAAACATGAGGGGAACTTCTTGAGATGTGACACTCCCTTCCTTCTATCACTCCAGGTGCCCTCTGCAGGCAAAACACCCACACCATCTCACCTGGTCTCCAGATGCACTTGGCGGAAGGGGCCACACCACAGTAGAGCCCTTCATGCCACTTCCCAAACAGCCGGTGCACCACTTTCCCCTCCTGATCCATCACGACCCCCTGGACTTCATTCACATTAGAATTCCAATAATTCACCTGGAAAAACCAAACACCAATGAAAACATCCAATCTCTCTAATAACACCAATCCCCATAATTATCATATGGAAAATTTTCTTAACTCTAAAGTTGCTCATTCAAACCACTTCCAGAAATCTACCTCAAAATATTTTATATGAAAGGTTGGCTTAACTTTAACTTTATTTTCATTTTTTAAATCAAATTTGAGTAATCAGTTTTTATCTTTATGGCTAGTATATTATCTTGATTACTTCCAAGCAACGGGGATAGTCTTTGTTTTTCTTTTTATGAGCTTTATGAACCTCCTACTCATAACTGACATTATAATCGATCTCAAATTAGTCGTGTGTGCTGTGACATGGGGATCTGAGTTTATTATTATTTTTTAAATTTTTTATTACATTTTTAATTAAATTCCGGTTAGCTAACCTATATATAATATTCGTTTCAGGTGTACATTTCAGTGATTCAACATATACAACACCTAGCATTCATCACAAGTGCCCTCCTTAAACCCGCCTGTTTCCTCCACCCCCCCCATCTTTTTTAAAAAATATATACTATATGCACGGCTTATTGTCAATTTAGCTAACATACAGTATATACAGTGTGCTCTTGGTTTTGGGGGGGAGATTCCCGTGAGTCATCCCTTACATACAACACCCAGGCCTCATCCCAACAAGTGCCTTCCTCAGTGCCCATCACCCATTTTCCCCTGTACCTTGTCCCTCGCCCCTCAACAACCCTCAGCTTGTTTTATTTAAGAGTCTCGTATGATTTGCCTCCCTCCCTATTTGAAACTATTTTTTCTCCTTCCCTTCTCCCACGGTCTTGTTAAGTTTCTCAATTTCCACATGAGTGAAAACACACTATATCCGTCTTTCTCTGACTGACTTACTTCACCTACCGTAATACCCTCCAGTTCCAGCCATGTTGGTGCAAATGGCCAGATTTCATTCTTTAAAGAAAGGGCTAATCTCTCTTCTAGGGCAGACACGACTCTGTTTCTATCCTAATAACCTAATATCAATTTACCAGTTAAAAATTTCTTCCTTAGATCTTCCTATCTCAAAATTTTCCTTAGCTCATGGATTTTAATGAGTTTCAATGGGCAATGATGCTGTAGAAGTCAATTGTGAATAATTTTTATAGTGTCCACAAATAGCTAAATTTCATTAGGAAAATCCTGGTCTGGCCTTCTCCAGCCATGCTTCTCCCCAGGAGACTAGAAGTCTGTGGGAATTTACCCCTCTGGATCCCATGGCCCCCTTCCAGATCAGGTGCTAGAATTTCCCTTCTCAACAACTCTATGCTTATTCCACAGCCCGCACTGGCTTTTCCTGTGGATTCATCCACACAAAGGGCGGACCATCCACCACCAGTGTGTGAATTTAGGCCTGAGGGGTGGCCAGGGGTGTCTGAGGGGTGTGGGGACAGAGCTCAGGTGTGAGCTGACTGCCTTCCTACGTGTGGGGCAGAGCAGAGCCGGCTGCAGGAGCACAGAAAGCGGGAAGGCCATGCATCGGGGCTGGTTCTCCTGTGCTGCCAGGTTTCCAGCTCACAGTTCTAAAGTGGCCAAGCTGGCCTTGGGGGTTTTGTTATAAAAGATATATTTGTCTGCTGAGGCATAGGAGCACATGTACCCCAATGTTCATAGCAGCACTCTCCACAATAGCTAAAACATGGAAAGAGCCTAAGTGTCCATCAACAGATGAATGGATCAAGAAGATGTGGTTTATCTATACCATGGAATACTACATGGCAATGAGAAACAATGAAATCTGGCCATGTGTAGCAACACGGATGGACCTTGAGGGTGTTCTGCTGAGCGAAATAAGTCAGGCAGAGAAGGACAAATATCATATGTTTGCACGTATAGGAGGATTAGGAGGAACTTGACGGAGGAACAAGGGGGAGAAGAAGGGGGGAAATGGTGGGGGAAAGGGAGAGAGGCAAACCATGAGAGACCCTTGAATGCTGACAAAAACTGAGGACTGATGGATGTGGGGGGGAGGGGGGGATGGGCATGGAGGAGGGCACTTGTGGGGATGAGCACTGAGTGTTATGTGGAAACTAATTTGACAATAAACTATTTGTAAAAAAAAAAAAAGATATATTTGTCAAGGTAAAAGAACAGAACATAAGTTATTTGACAGACTGTACGTTTGATCTACAAGTTTTAGATATTTACACATATGGGATTGGGGCCTCCATTGGTATTGTGGCCCTGAGCTCTGCAAATATTAGAGGCAGACCTAAATCGAAGCTTCTCGTGGCCCACAAAACTAATGCACACATTTACTGTCACCACCCACCCAGAGTCAACTCACGATCCTGGCTTTTCAGTTCTGAGCCACCTAATGAGTGGCTTTTTTCCCCTCCAGGAAATAAAGGAAAACACAAAAAACATCTTGAGTAGAAACAAAGACCTTCAATGAGAACTAACATGACCTTCCACTATGGCTTCAAAGGATTTCACTAAGAGAACATTTTGAGCGTTAAGACTTCAATATGTTACCCGTTTCTACCATAGGAGAATGGGATCAGGAGTAGAACAGATAAAGGGGATGGTGGGATCTGTGTACCATGATGAACTGTGTGACATGCCTAAACGTGAGGGCGATCCTGTGTGTTCCTCTTCGGACCAGAGAGACTGAGGGAAAATGATATCATGTGAGCATTTCTATCCCAGGAATCTTTTCCTGTTTTTATAAAGGAAATAAAGGTGATTTTTTTTTCTTGAATATATTTGGATTATAATAGTGGCAGAGTTGGATAAGCATGTAGTGACTGGAAGCTATCCTCCACACACATCCTCAGAAAATGACGAATGCATTATAATTAGCTCCCTAAAATAAGATCACTTGACTATGTTGCAATCAAGCAGGAATAGAAATAGAAACCAGAGGACTCGCTATAGGCAAGAAGTGTTTTCTGGAATTTTACTTAATGGGTATTGACTGGCTGCTTAAAAAGACAATTCTTTGGAAAGAGTATTTCTTCTGTTTTCAGATGGTGCCTTTTTTGACCTCCACACATTCAGAAGTCTGGATGCCTTATGTAACTCTGCCAGTAGGTTCTGCTTTCTTACCTAAAATGCCCTTGAGGATCCGTGGTATAGGATAGACTCACTTGCTGCTGTTTAAGGTAACTGTTTTATTTCTCCTCTACAAAGCACTTTATATATTTTCTTTCTTGACTGTTGTATGATAGTATTTACCTTGACAAATGTGAGTTTGCAAATGCAAACACTGCTTTTGGTATTTCTAATGGTTATTTCTCCATAATGCTCTATCCACCTCCTCCCACTGAGAATATTATGTATACATGTAGTGACTTTATTCCATACATAGCAATCTCCATACCTAGGGAAGAACACAGCATTGATTATAAACAATGAAGGTTACAAATATTCATTACTGTTTCCACTACTGAGAATATTCTTTGGCCAAAGCTTCCGCTTCCCTCCTTTTCCTCTCATTTCTTTGTTGAATATTTCTATGTAGTCAAGGGCATTTATGATCTGATTCATTCATTTGAGGAACATTTCAGTGCTTCTTGCAGGCCAGGTGCTAAAGCTACCAAGTTGAATACGACCTGTGTCTTGCTCTCTTGGAGCCAACAGTATGGTAGGGGTAGATGGACATGGAAACAAAGACTTATAATAAAATATGATGAGAAAGTAGCGTGAAAACAGACAAAGAGGAGCCCTTAGATCTGCCTGGAATGTGCGGTAAGTATCAAGGAAGACTTGTTAGAGAAGGCTGGGTTCAGTCTAAGCTTGGAGGATGGAAAAGAGGGTGCTGTAGGCTGGGGAAAGGCACTGACGAAGCCACAGAGGCCAGAATAGCATGGCGCATCTGGGGGCCTGCCAGTGGTGTGCCTCACATGAGTGGGTGTGGCGGACGACGAGGCTGGCAAAGTGGACGGGGCGGAAGAGGGAAGGCCTTCGATGATGTCCCAACGAGTCTGGCTGGATTCATAATGCAGGTAACGTGCCATTGTGGAAGGATGTGAGGGAGGAGACAGGCATGATAGGACGGGACTTTAAGTAAGATTGTTCTCAGCACACTGTTTCATACTCTGAGTTGAGATCAAAGATGTGAATGATTCTTTGAGAAAAGATGTGAATGATTCTTTGAGAAAAGACTAATGATCACAGAGAGCACATACCTAATGCAAATTCTGGGACAGGGTTTCTGCCAAGGAATGAGATGACACAGCATCAGATCTCCTTTAAGTTTACACATTATCTACATTTTCTTTTTTTTTTAATGTTTATTTATTATTTTGAGAGAGAGAGACAGAGAGAGAGAGACAGAGGGCAAGCAGGGGAGGGGCAGAGAGAAGGAGACACAGAATCCAAAGCAGGCTCTAGAATCTGAGCTGTCAGCACAGAGCCAGACATGGGGCTTGAACCCACGAACCATGGGATCATGACCTGAGCCGAAGTCCAATGCTTAACCGACCGAGCCTCCCAGGCTAATAAAATTTATTTATTTTTCAAAATAAAATAAAAAATAAAATAAAATAAAATAAAATAAAAAATAAAATAAATAAAATAAAATAAATAAAATAAAATAAAATAAAACAAGCAAAAAAAGATTTATGAATTGGTAGAGGGAAAACTCTTCTCATGAGTTAGCAAATATTTAAAGTCTATTTTGTGGTTCTGGGAATTCTTCCCTCTCCCCACCATCCTTCATATCCAATCCATCAGCAAATTCTGTCATTAAATGAACAAAAAGAAAACAACACCAACCAAATAAAGAAAGAAACAAAACAACAATCGAGCCTTTGGCTTCAATGAGGACTTCAATTAATTTTAAAAATTTATAGGCTATATCCTGTAGAAAAATACCATAAAAGAAATCCATCACTCTTCCTCAATAACTTAGACATTAAAAATAGTCCCTAGATCTAAGGTGAATTCAAAAGTAAAAATATATATTGTATAGAAAAGAAGTGGCTAAAAAGAGAATCTCTGATATAAAATGCAAACTAACATGGTGACTGGGACAGGTAGGTGGCTGGTACTGACTTGATGAACAGAGGATGAGCAGAGGGAAGTAGGAAGCTTTGCTACAGATGCTAAAGTTCTCATTTGCTCTTGGGAGGGTCCAGTCTCAGACCTTTGGAGAAATTAACAGAAGCATTGGGCATACATAGAAATGGACTGTTGGTACCTTCTAGAGTTTCAAAGACCCATTTCTGATTTAGAAAAGCAGGTAAGAGACCAAAAGGAAGATGAGAGCTACCTACCTGGGAAGCATGACATTCAGTGTTCCAACAGGCAGGATTTCCATCGACTTCCCCCAGAACTTGTTTTTCCATCTGATATCTAAACAACACAGGCAGAGGAGAGTAAATATATATCCCATATCTAATCATTTATTCCATAAAAACCTAACATCTGTATCACACTCTATGTCTCACAAAGAACTTTTGCAATCACAATTGATTCTATATTGTTGACTTAACGTATCAAGTACCTGTGGATGGCCCAAGGTGAAAAGATTAATATTCACATACACATATACATATAGACTCTACTATGCTTTAATGCCTAGATAAATGTTGCTGTAAGTTTTAACTAAATGGTGGAAATAGTTAACATACATGTTAAAAATAAGATCTATAGTAAAAAACAATTGCAGTATGGATTTATTTACATATTCATTTGAAAAGTTACATGATTTGGGTGAATAGTAAAAAAAAGTAAATCTCTAAAACAGAAGGTAAGTAAGATTTATGAGAAAATGATAATTAACTTAAGGAACATGTTCCTACACTGGTTGTTAAGATATGGTCCAGGGCTCATATAATGTTTATCTCACATGACGGCTTTATGTTTTGCTTGGGGACACTCAGGGTTGCCTGTGCGTTTGTAATAACCACTTGGCCCCATTTTGATGGGCTAAGTAAGGGAGTTTAGTGCTGTTTCCACCAAATTTCTGACTCTTTGTTATGACTAAGAAATGACTTATTTTCTCATTTTGCAATAAAATATAGTCACAGCACTCTATCATTTTATGTGTTTTTAGGTTGAGAAAGTGTATATGAGAAGAGGTATTCTTTGAGTAATGAAGCTGCCTTCCAAACATGAAGGAACAATTTATACTTGATAGTTAAATGTACATGTACAGTTGATCCTTGAGCAACATGGGTTTGAACGGCATGGGTCCATTCATAGGCAGATTTACTTTGATAAATACAGTACAGTACTATAAATATATTTTCTCCTCCTTATGATTTTCTTAATAACATTTTCTTTTCTCTCGCTTTCTTTACTGTAAGAACACAGTACATCATACATATAACATACAAAGTATGTGTTCACTGACTGCTTATGCTACTGTTAAGGCTTCTGGTCGATGGTAGGCTGTTAGTAGTTAAGTTTTTGGAAGAGTCAAAAGTAACACATGAAATTTAGACTGTAGGGGTTAGGACCCTAACCCCAGTGTTTTCAAGGGTCAACTGTATATATATATATTTTTCTAAAGGGGTTTTGAGGGGCACCTCGGGGACTCAGTTGGTTAAGTGCCCAACTCTTGACTTCGGCTCAGGTCATGATCTTGTGGTTTGTGAGTTGGAGCCCTGAATCACGCTCTGTGCTGTTAGTGCGGAGCCTGCTTGGGATTCTCTCTCTCTCCCCCTCTCTCTCTCTGCCTCTCCCCTGCTCATGTGCATGCTCTCTCTCTCTCTCTCAAAATAAGTAAACTTTAAAAATAAAAAGAGGTTTTGAAACTTGTAATTTCAGGTAAGTTTGTAACATTCTGACAAAACATTCTGGTTAAGTAGAGACTTAAATCCAAATCCTGAGCCTCAGTGACCTAAAGACCCCAAATCAGCACAATGTTTACATATCTAAAAAGACTGTGACCACAGATGATGTGCCATAGAAACTTTGTTCACAATTAAGATCTTGCACATACTCAAGAAGCAAGAAGGCAGCGGTTAGAACCTCCATATTATAGATGCAAACAATGAGGCATAATGAGGTAGAGTGATAGCCCTGAGCTGACAGTCAGCATGGCGCTCTGATGTCCCTAGGGCTTTGTTGCCTAGGTATACAATCTCATACTTAAAGCCAGGAAATCTAATTTCTCAAACTCAACTCCACACCAATTACTAGCATTGTCTGAGTTCCAAAGGCAGAAATTCCACCTGAGCATAATGTACATTTAGAAAGCAGATGTTTCATAGGCTCACCAATGGGATTTTGTTTAAAAAAAATTTTTTTTTATAGTTTATTTATTTTGAGACAGATAGAGCATGAGCGGGGGAGGGGCAGAGAGAGAGGGAGACACAGAATCTGAAACAGGCTCCAGGCTCTGAGCTGTCAGTGTAGAGCCTGATGCGGGGCTCGAACCCACGATCTGTGAGATCTGACCTGAGCCGAAGTCGGACGCTTAACCGACTGAGCCACCCAGGCACCCCTCACCAATGGGATTTTGAAGTTATAACTGAAATACGAACCTTGCCAAAACACAAAATTCTTGGATTCACAGTGACAGGCAGAAATGGGTGGATGATGGCTAACCTGGTATTTAAAAACAAAAAAGAAGGCAATGACATTAGTGTTAAAACTGCTATAAATGATTTAAGTCTTTTTCTACATACACAGGCTACCCCCAAATAAAAAATTAGTCAACTCATCCATCTTTATTATTGAATTATTCTCAAAATGTGTACACAAATTACTGAATCTGCTACTTTAAGACTTCATGCTTAAACATGAACTTATATACATTAAAAGATAAGTGAAATGAGTTCTTTGGAAGCTGGTGTCATATCCCACTGCAAACAGTGGTTTATCAAAAAGCTGTTTTCATCATCAAACTGTCCTCCTATAGTTTGGGCATAGAAACCTCACTGAGTCCAGTGGGCTTACCTGTTCTGAGAAAAATCGGAATCCCTTGTCCTCTCTAATGCATTCGTAAGTCTCCCCAAGGACAGGGTTGAATGGCTTACTTCCTGCTCTGAAATAGGTGGAGCAATATCCTGAAACTGCAAATGCAGCAATAAGAACCTGTTAAAACATTTAAGAAAGGAAAATAATATAGGAGAGACTACTTCCAGGTCTGTTTGTCCCTCATTCCTCTAGAGTTTACACACCCCTGTCAATGGGTGCTGATTTGGTGGCATTTGCATTCTCTATTATTTGCACAGGCTCTTCCTAATCTCATGGGTAAAAAAGGAGTGAAAATGAGGTTCAGCTCCTTGTATGGGAAACAGCAGGCAACTGAGGACAAGTATTCTTCATTTACCTGTCACCCAGTTTCTTGAATATCACAGAGTTCAAAGATTCTGACACCTAGGTTATAGGTTACGTCATATGCACAACTTAGCGCCCTGTGTAGAGGGGGCTTATGACTGCTGGTGCTTTCCAGACGGCAGCCAGGTTTTCCACAGTCACGTGGAGTAGAGGCCAGGGCAATGCACAAATAGGAGGCTATTTTCTCTGGCCCAAGTTCTTGAACAAATGGGCTCTCTTGGCTTTCAGGAACAGCTAATAAAGCAAGTCTATACATGCCTTATCCCTGTAAGGAGCCGATACCTTTTCATCCTAACTTCAGAAACACTCACAACTAAAGATAAGTCACAAAGCATATATGTTCTATAGAGGTATCTGGAACGTTTTGGCCCTGCCCAATTTATGCAAACTGCTTCCTCCCTTACCATGTGGTGAGAGCGTTACGCAAAAACCAAATAGGCCACTGTGATGAATTCTGCCTTAGTCCACATCTAGGGATAACAAATCCCTAAAAGGTGCTGTTCTATTATTTATTACCATGCGCTCATAGGGGTCATCAGTTTCTGAAGCCTTGTCCAGAAGCTCGCTGTATTCGATCTCCTCACAGAGATGCTGCAGCGTGTTGAGTGGCTCATTCAGCTCCACAGGCATGGAGACTTTAGACAAGTCTTTACCAATGTTGTTCCTCAAGATATTCCACAGGTTAATATTACTGGTGTCAGGACAGGGAGCTGGCAGGCATGTTCGACGTCCATTTCGGAAGGCCCCTCCTGTGAGCTCTCCGTTCAAGACTGGAAGACAGAGAAAGACAAGAATCATAATAAAAGATACTTTGCTGTTTTGATTTCATAAAATCTAGGAAGTAAATAACTCTTTCAAATAATTATGATTGTGATACATTTCTTAGGCTTCACTACACTCTCTCAAGAGTGAATGGAATTATTTCAACACAGGGTTGCCAATAAATGCACAAAACATCAATGTATAGTTTTTTTTTTAACAAGGTGTTAAATATACTCAAATATTATTCAAGAAAAAATAAGCTGAATTTTTAAAAAAGCAAATAGATTTAAGAAAGACTCAAACTTTTGGTTTAAGAAAGAAGTAAATTTTTTTCATGTAAGCATCAACTTAACAGATTTTTCAACCATTTACCTCAGCAGAATATATAAATACAAAATGCTGAAGAAACAATTAGTGAGGAGAGAAAATGACTGTTCACTGAATCACCAGGGCTTTAACTTGGCAAGAAGAGAGAACAACCTGAGAGCTCAAATGATGCCTACTTTGCCGAGAAATGTTGTCTGCAACACTGGTGTTGTCTTCAGATATATTGTCACTCACATCACTGATGTAAGACTCATCATCTGAAGCCTAAAAAAGGGAAGCACAAAGAAAGGATCAGAATTCTTGTTCCATCTTAATTGGTCAAAAAATCAGATGATTAAGAACAAAATGTTGTCCAACTAAACAGCGTGGACACAGGGAGGAGGGGGCTTGGCCCATGTGCAATGAACTCTTGAGCAAGAGTGTGTGCCATCAGCCAGAACACAGCATTGCTTGAGAGCAGCCTTTTTATTTAAAACATTTTTAATGTTTACTTACTTATTTATTTTGAGAGACAGAGGGAAAGGGGGGGGGGGAGAGAAAGAGAGAGCGAGCGAGCGAGCGAGCAGGGGAGGGGCAGACAGAGAATTCCAAGCAGGCTCCACACTGTCAGTGCAGAGCCTGATGTGGTGCTCGAATCCACGAACAGTGAGATCAGGACCTGAGCGGAAACCAAGAGTCAGACACCTAACCAACTGAGCTACCAGGTACCCCAAAGGCAGAATTGTCTTTAAGCAGCTCCCTGCCTTAACTGGGGGCTAGTACATAATCAGGGATATTTCAGCACAATGCAATAAGAATAGGCAAAAAAAAAAAAAAAAGGAGGGAGTCTACTCCCCCCTAGGGGGCGTCAAGAGAGGCTGCTCAGAGGAAATAAAATTGGCACTAGGGATTGGAGAGGTATTTACAAAGGGGAGAAGCACAGGAGGAAGGGAGAGTGTACACAGGCAGGAACACGAGGGAAACATTCCATTCTAGGGACGCTCAGGAGTTGAGTGGCCATGACAGAAGGTGGGATGAATAGGAGGAGGTGAAGGGCTTTTCATGTCAATATAAAGGGATCCATATAATCCCACAGAGTTATTACATGCAAGGGGATGACAGAGTCACACTTTTCAGGAAGACACCTGGCTGCTTTGCCTTTGGGAGCTCAGCTAATGGGATGCTACATAGCTCTGGGTAGGAGATACTGACAGCTTAGGTTAAGGTGACCACAATGAGGATCTGGAAGTGAAGCTGCTTTGAGACCACATTTGAAGATAATAGACAAAATCTGGTAGATTACTTGGGAGTGAGAGAGGAAGATCCAGGGATGGGGGAAATCAAGAATTAGGCTACTCTCTACAAGAGAAAAACATGGCATAAAATGAAAGCAAAATTTGCATGGGAATAAAATTAAGGGGCACCATATGTACTAATAAGAGGAGCTAGAAATGGATCAGGTAAGAAACAGAGCAGGACAGCAGAGCCACTCAGAAAAATGGGAACAACCAAGGTCTCTATTGCAGGCAAGAAAGCTGCTGATACACATTTACTGTCTTGAAAATGGACATAATGCTGCATTTTTCCTGCATATGTAACAAAATATTCTTATTGTAAAAATTAGAAATTATGTGAAGGTAACCAGATTATAGAAAAATTAACCATAATTCCATCACCTGTGGAAACTACTTCTAACATTTGAATATTACCCCAATTTCAAAATGCCAATAAAAACATATTGATACATTTATCTTTAGTTACTGAACAAGGGGGTCCGTTTATATACTGTTATGATGTTGAGAATATATTTCCATTATAACAAATATAGTTTTCATTTTTATTTGGAAAGGCAACAAAATTCATTATACAGGTAAAATACAAGGAACTTAGCCAACATTTAAGTGGTTTCCAAATTTTGGGCCAGCTGTGTGGCTCAGTCCGTTGAGTGTCTGACTCTTGGTTTCCACTCAGGTCATAATCTCACGGTTTTGTGGGTTTGAGCCCCATGTCAGCCTCTGAGCTGACAGCGTGGAGCCTGCTTGGGATTTTCTCTCTCCCTCTCTCTCTTCTCCTCCCCCGCTCCCACTGTCTCTGTCTCTTTCAAAATAAATAACCTTAAAAAAATGGCTTCCAATTTGACAATACTTGGATGCATATCCTTATAAACATTTCTGTGATTCTGTCTGGTAATTTCATTAACATTTATTCTTAGCTATGAAATTGCTAGATCAAAGGGGTCACATTTAGTCTTTAGACACATGTTACCAAGTTGCTCTCTTGAAAGATTGTAGTAATTTGTTCTCATTAGCTATCTCTCTACACCCACTTAAACACTAGGTATTATCAATCCCTTTTTAGTATCTATTTACCTAACATACATAGAAAAATCTCTTTTTAAATTCTGCATTTTATCTTTTTTAAACTTGTTTTTTTCCTTTAAAAATTTACATCCAAGTTAGTTAGTGCAATAATGATTTCAGAAGTAGAATCCAATAATTCATCACCTATGTATAACACCCAAAGCTTATCCCAACAAGTGTCCTCCTTAATGCCCCTTGCCCGTTTAGCCTATCCCCTACCCACAACCCCTCCAGTAACCCTCAGTTTGTTCTCTGTATTTAATAGTCTCTTATATTTTGTCCCCCTCCCTGTTTTTATATTATTTTTGCTTCCCTTCCCTTCTATTTGATTTGTATCTTAAATTCCACATATGAATGAAGTCATATGATATTTGTCTTTCTCTGACTAGTTTTACTTAGCATAATATATTTTAGTTCCATCCACATTGTTGCAAATGGCAAAATTTCAATCTTTTAGACTGCTGAGTAATACTTCATTGTATATACACACCACATCTTTTTTATCCATTCATCTGTCAATGGACATTTGGGCTCTTTGCATACTTTGGCTATTGTCGATAGTGCTGCTATAAACAGTGGTGCGCATGTGCCCCTTTGAAACAGTACCCCTGTATCCTTTGGATAAATAACCTAGTAGTGCAATTGCCAGATTGAAGGGTAGTTCTATTTTTAATCTGTAAACTTGTTTTCTTTCACACATTTTTCAGTTTGTCTTATAGATTGCATTTGGCTAGAGTGCAATTTATTTTTTAATGTGGTTTAAGCCTTATTTTTGTCATGTAAAAGTTTTAAATTTGTAGATAATAAAAACAATTAGTCTTTGCCTGTAAGGATTCAGGCTTTCTCGCTGATGTTTTAAAAATTAAAGTTGAGAAGGATTAATATATTTACAGAGAACAATGATAGAACTATTGCATATATAAATGAAGACTGGTGGTTTTCCACTGAGCAAGTCTATAAAGATGGCAAGTTGAGAGTAAAGTCTTTTTCTGATTCACATTTTCCCACTGCAACTAACTGGTTCCCAGTTACTATGAACTGCAAAAGAGCTGATGGTTAAATCATCATGCCACATGAAAGCCACCTTCATAAGCTTGATAGAAAAAAAAAGTAAATCAAACTCTTCCACATGATTTCTCTTTAAAAGGCTAATCACACCTAATTATGTTAGAAGAGACAAATGCCTGCTCAAACGAAATCCATGTTGCAGGCTTATGTACTATTTGAACATTTGTTAAGATAACATTCATGTTTATCCTACAAAAAGCTATAAAGAGTCCATTTCTCTTGAATTTCTAATCCCTCCCAAACTATTACATGATAAAAATGGTCCCATACCCACTTCCTTCTAGAATAGTCTATGTAGAATGTAAAACAATTCTACAATGGTAGGGGCCCTGAGTAAGATCTACATTCTCATATGTGTGAGGAATAGCTGAGGCTGAGCAGTCTGCCTGTGGTCCATGTGTGTTGTCTTGTATATAAAGTTAAGGTTCTGCAGTATTATAAGAAAATGATTAATATCCATTTACCTTCTTACCAATGGTCAAAAGGTCCTGAGGACAAATATTTCTCTTTAAGAGTTTAGGGATTCAAAAGAGTTCCAGAAATATACATATCTATTTTTCTATATGTGACCAGGCATATAATATCGTGGAGACAAGTTAATAGCAGAGGAAAGGAAGTAGATCATTTTGGAAGCATGAAGAGCTTTTTTTAAAGAAGCTGAACATTCATTAAATGAAGTGCATTGGTAGATATCACATAAAGCAGATGCTTTCCCCACTCATGGAAAATGTTAATGTAAGACAGCTAATGCCCAGATGTTTTTCAGATTAATCATGTGTTAAAGTGCTATAAGCATTTCTTCATTCAGTTAGCAAATATTTGGCCCCTGAAAGGCTCCAGAAGAATAGAAATTACTAGAGGCTGCAGCTGAGAAGAGAGATCAGATTATACAGTCTTTGTATGATAGCTAAGGAGTTTAGATAGTTATCTTAAGGATGCTGGGGAATAGGGACATGATCAGATTTGCATTTCAGAAAGATTAATCAGGCTAATCTAATCCAGTGGAAAATGGATTAGACGGGCAAGAGGAGAGGCAGGAAAAGCAGTAATGGGGATCGATCAGGTAATCCAGTGGGGAGATGATGGAGGGTTGGAGTAGTGGCAGTGAAGCTGTAGGAAAATGTATGGATTTGGTAGTATTTAGGTAACAGATGTTACAGAGCCCAATGAGTAAATCAATGTGGGTAGTGAGTCCTAGTAAGGCAGATGGGGCGAAGGCCAATACCCATGGATTTGATGTGAACACTTGGGTAGAAGAGCAGTTAGATAAGCAATGTGAGAAGTATGGGCAGGTTTCTCCCCACTTGGGATATGTATGTGTGTAAGGGGTTTGTTGATTAATCCATTTTTGGACATGCTGAGTGAGAGGTTCTGTGGCACACCCAGGTGGCAATGTCTCCTAGGCAGCTGGTTCTGTGGATCCTGAGTTGACTCCTGCTCTGTCTCCAGAGTTGTTTGCTCTTTGAGCTTTATTTTTAAAATAAAAAAAAATTAATTTAAAAAATGTTTTCGGCGTGCGCACATGAGAGTGGGGGAGGGGCAGAGGGAGAGGGACAGAGAATCCTAAGCAGTCCATGCTTAGCATGGAGCCCAGAGCAGGACTCAAACTCATGAACTGTGAGATGGTGACCTGAGCCTAATCAGGAGTTGGATGCTTAACTGACTGAGTCACCCAGGGGCCCATTTGAATACCCAAATGCTGGCCAGATAACTCCACTGAGAGGTCTGATAAACACACAATGCCTCAAAGTGAATACATCATCTCTGTGTGCCCTCATCCTTCTCTCTGCCACTAGATTCACTCTTCCCCCAGAGCCGGTACCACCATGCTGCTTCGGCTTGTGACATAAATAGCCTGCTTCATGTGCTCTTCATTTCTGTATTGTCAGTGTGTGGGACAAGTGGTACTTGGGCATCTAGTCGGTGTGCCTCTAAGAACTTGAAAATAGGGAAATTAGGTTGCTTGCAAAGGGATAAGCTATAAAGTCATAAGATGATGGGTCAGAGCTCAGATAACATGGAGGCACATTTGACTGTAACCTGACTAAAGAAGGATGAAGGGCTGGTCAGCAATGGGAGGTCCGAAAAAAGAGACTCAGAAAAGAAAATGCTGGTAGCATGCCTCCGTCCATGTGGCAGAGTATCCCTTTAAGGGAGACAAAGAGGTGAGGCTATTACATTGCAGTCCTCTCAGCCTCTGGTTCACTCGAATCACTCTTTCTGCTCTGGTTCCTTGCTCACCAAGCAACATCCTGACTAGAGTTAGGCTTCCCATGGGGGTTGGCCTTAAGGAAAGAGATATAAATCATCAAGCATGATTATTTTGTCCATCTGATAGCATCTGATCAATTATCATTATGAATAATTAAACTAGGACTCGGGCTCGTATATGGGAGCCTCTGTGAATTGTTAACATGTGACTAGGGATCTGAGAAGCAGGTGCACAGCTTGGTGTGGTAACAAATTCAGTGCCCGAGACAAGGATTCTATTTCACCTCTCCCCCATTATAAAAGTGAGATGTATTCATTATTTCTTTCTCCTTTCCACTTATTTTTGTTTCCAAAATTGCTCATAATTTCAAACATCCAAAAACAACTAGAACTAATTGTCAGGATGTTTCCTTCCAATCTATTTTCTATGCATATGGAAATAACATTTAGCAACTATTTCATTTCCTTTGTAAAAATGCAGTACCAGATTTGCAACCTCAAATGACAAAATTTTTAATCAACTATGTGGGAAGGAGCTTTGGCTACTTCTCCCATGCTGAAAGAAAGAAAGAAAGAAAGAAAGAAAGAAAGAAAGAAAGAAAGAAAGAAAACAAAAGAAAGAGAAAAAAAGAGAGAAAAGAAGAAAATTCAAAGTACGCTTGACTAAATTTCTAAATTTCAGTAAAACAATCAGTTTCTGCATTGTGATCAAGGAAAACTCCCTGTTTCCAAGACTTATGAGCATAAAGAACAATCCAAAAAAACCTTTATGGGTACAAACTTCCAATTATAAAATAAGTAAGTCCTGGGGATGTAATGTACAACATGACAACTACAGTTAATAATACTGTGCTGCATATCTGATTGTTGCTAAGAGAGTGGATCTTAAAAGTTCTCATCACAAAAAAAATTCTGTAACTATGCATGGTGAGAGATGTTAACTAGACTTATTGAGGTAAGCATTTTACAATATATACAAATATTGATTCTTATGTGGTCCACTTGAAACTAAAATAAGGCTGTGTGTAAACTATACCTCAGTAAGAAACAAAACAACAAAAAAGTTTTTATGTTAGCCAGTGGTAACCTCCAAAAACCATAATGACCCAACTATATATTCTAGACAGTATCCTTCTTTTTTTAAATATAATTTATTATCAAGTTAGCTAACATACAGTGTATACAGTATGTTCTTGGCTTCAAGGGTAGATTCCCATGATTCATTGCTTACATGCAACACCCAGTGCTCCTCCCAACAGGTGCCCTCCTCAAAGACCATCACCTATTCCCCCCACCGCCCTCTCATCAACCCTCAGTTTCTTCTCTGTATTTAAGAGGCTCTTATGGTTTGCCTCCCTTTCTGTTTGAAACTGTTTCTTCCCCTTTCCTTCCCCCATGGTCTTCTGTTAAGTTTCTCAAATTCCACATATGAAAAAAAAATATGATCTTTCTCTGACTGACTTATTTCACTTAGCATAATACCCTCCAGTTCCATCCATGTTGCTGCAAATGGCCAGATTTCATTCTTTTTCATTGCCAAGGAGTATCCCATTGTATATATAAAGCAGATTTTCCTTATCCATTCATCAGTTGATAGACATTTGGGCTCTTTCCATGATTTGGCTATTGTTGAAAGTGCTGCTATGAACATTGGGGTACGTGCACCCCTATGAATCAGTACTCCCATATCCTTTGGATAAATTCCTAGCAGTGCTATTGCTGGGTCATAGGGCAGTTCTATTTTTAATTTTTTGAGGAACCTCCGCACTGTTTTCCAGAGTGGCTGCACGAGTTTGCATCCCCCCAACAGTATAGGAGGGTTTCCGTTTCTCCACATCCTCGCCAGCATCTGTTGTTGCCTGAGTTGTTAATTGTAGTCACTCTGACAGGTGTGAGGTGGTATCTCAATGTGGTTTTGATTTGTATTTCCCTGATGATGAGTGATGTTGAGCATCTTTTCATGTTAGACATTCTCTTTCTAGAGAAGCTTAAATTCATGTCTCTGGCAAAGACGTGTGTGTGCGTGTGGACGCACACATGCATGCACACACACAGGTGTATAAATGGTGATATTCAATATCTCTCAGTCTTTCTACATTTAACTAGTTTCCTTCTACAAAAAAAAACAAAAACAAAAACAAAAACAAAAAACCTCTCCCATCAACAATTTGATTACCCTGGGATATAAATTGTACAAGAGTGTCTGAGAAAACACTAGATTCTTTCCTTTTATTCATCCAATTAAGTAAGAAATAAGTTGGCAATCAGACGTATTAAGTGCTTTGTAAATGGGAACCAATGTAGTTTACATGCTTTGGCTTTCCTACAATTTGGGAAGTTTATTATGATGTAAAAAAAAAAGTCCCATAGTCTTACTTTCTTTAACCCAATCTCATTATCAGAAGCAGTTGGGGTTGACACATCAAAAAACCTTACCTCATTCTCTGACGAACTTGCAGAGAGCAGCACCTCCTGGGCATCAAAGAACTCGGAGACAGACTCTGACATGGACAGGCGGCTTTCATTGGCTACCTGCTGCGACAGGGGGAGACTGACATGGATTTGCTCACCAGCCTACAGAGGAGAGAAGCATTCTCTGTCAACGTTTTCCCCTCGAAAGAAAAGCTATCTGTTCAAATTAGACCATGATGTGCCAGGTCAGATTTTTCTAGAGAAATTCACACCATATGTTAAAAGAGTGGTGACCACAAGTAATTTTCACTTGCAACTCAGCAATGACCATTCCATAAGTTTCCTTCTACTATGTCTAAGGAATCTGAAAGGCATAGCTGAAAGCTGTGACTTGATTTCAGATCTATGCTCAATGGATATTAATTGGAGTTTAACAGCTCAAACCCCTATCAATACCCTGATTTGATTGTGCAGACAGGTTCACTGTCAAATATATGATCTGTTGTTACTAGCCATATTCTTACCAGTATGCTAAGTCTTAGGACATATTTGTAGAAGCCGCTAGACAGGTGCTAAGAAAACAATCTATAAAACTAATTTTTGATATAGAATATATGTCATTTTTCACTTTGATCATGAATTTTAACCAATGAGAAAACAAGACTAAAGTATTAAACTATGTCAAATTATATTTTTATTCAATAAGTCAACTATATACATATATATATATAATGTGTAAACAGTAATACATATAATAATACATATAAAATGTAAAATAGTACACATTTCAGGTTGAAAAGATTCAAACAAGACTTAACAATTTTTGAGTGATCAAGTTCTGGAGATAATTTTGGATTCTGAGCAGTTGAGTGAGCATGAGTATCACCAGATATCATGTGATGCATGAAGGTGAGTGGACATAGTGTGGGGAATTTAAGTCAAAAAGAAGCTGTCCTGGGGAGCCTGGGTGTCTCAGTTGGTTCAGTGTCCAAATCTTGGTTTCAGTTCAGGTCAAGATCTCTCAGTTCATGAGATCAAGGCCCATGTTGGGCTCTGTGCTGACAGCATGGAGCTTGCTTGGGATTCTCTCTGTATCTCTCTCTGCTCCTCCCCTACTATCGTGCATGAGCTCTCTCTTTCTCTCTGTCTATCTGTCTTTCTCTGTCTCCCTCTTGAAATAAATAAATAAATATTGAAAAAAAGAATGGGATGGCACACCCTAAGCAATTAGATGGTAGAACCTTGGCACCTATAGATGTCTAATAAAATATGTGTGTTTCTGTAAATATGACCATCACATTAGTTAAAATCCTCACCTTGACATATATATTAATGTATATCAGGCTCTAATATTACTGATGAAAAGTATAAATTCTCATGGTTATAAAATAATAATTTAATAAAGGGTTATAAACAGAATTATACACTAAGTGTAGCTCAAATACTGAATGTTCTCCTATCCTTTTACTATTACATCAAAAATTCTCCTGAAAAATGGAATAATAATTGGATCTACCTCAGAGGTCATTTGGAGTGTCAAATGAAATAACACACGTCAAGTTGTTAGCACAAGGCCTAGCACACAGTAAGCATTCATTCACTTGACCTCTGTTAGCTACTAATTATTATTTATTATCGTCACTTTTAGTAACTGCAATAGCATTATTAGGATTATTTTAGCAAGGTTAGATGATTTCTTTCCTAAGATAGGGCTTTCAATATAAACCTTAAGAAAACTTTGATTTAGCACCTTCTCAGTTAAAAATGTTTTTTCCCCACCATGTCATGGACCATTTGATGATAATGAACATTTCAAATGAAGACTGTGACAGACACAGGAAATTTACAAGCTGGAGTAGATATAGAAACTAAATATTCAATAGCATCAGATGAACATAGATATAAATAAAAACCAGACACTGATCACCAAGAAGAAATGATATAGAGCTCATGTACATCCTTCACTCCAAAGAACACTGAGCTATCAACAACAGAAAAACTTATGCAGAGAATCTTCTTAACAGTGTAAGAACTGTAAAAAAGAAAACCCACCAAATATACAGAGAATTAGATGCTATAAAATAAGTGCTTGATACCTATTAAAAATTAGTCTTACCTCATCAGGGCTAGGAATAATATTTACACTGACAACCTGATCACAAATAATAGATTCTGAATGTATTCTGTTCAACCGACTTCTTAGTTCAGCATTCTGGTTGAGTGCCTTAAAATAACAAAAATTGCACATGTAATTTAAAGTTAATAAGCAAGCATAAAACAGAACAAGCACACAAATACACATTAGACAACAAAGTCTGTGATGTTCTTGGCTATAATCTGGAGTCAACATAGGACAGATCCTACTGTTAAGAGGGAAATGAATGGCTCAGAATTAAGGTATTCATTTTTTAAAAAATAAGACTCCTGCTTAGTAGGTTAGTGAGTTGAAAGAGTTCACAGATTTCATAAAAAAAATAACTTGTAGAATTTTCTCCCCCCTGGAGTCAGGCCCACCACATCCTAGCCCAGTCTACCACCACATATATATTATGTTTTATAGCCTGGGACCAAAACTATGGATTCCTTCCTTTTTTTTTTTTTTTTTGGTTCTAGTTTCTAAAATTTGGAAGTTGTCTTGGAGCCAGATAGTTTTCTTAAAAATTATTTGGAAATGGAATGAACAATTACCTGGCTTTAATTTATAGTATTATATTTGGCTTTAATTTATAGTATTATATCTTATTCCAGTGAAAATAAGTTGTATTTTCATTTCCTAGGAGCATATGCAAATGACAGTATAGCAGAACTAACTCAAGTGCAGACCAAAAGGTGCCTTCACTGAGCAGCATAGACCTTAAGACAAGCATAATAAAGAAAACACAACCGGAAGGAAACGAACTCCAAGTTATCGACGTCACATGACTTTCAACATACCCGGAGTCGGCATCAGTAAAACACTACCTGGCACAACAACTGAGTATGTGTGACAGGAAGAGAATAGCTTTATATAAGCATGGTCTCCCTACAGGTGCTCTGTGGACAAAAGTACCTGCATCACATCGATGCACGGGAATATGTTCCTTGTACGTAAGACAGATGTAGTCAGCTGGAATTATATCAAGGATCAGGGGATGGGAGCAAAAAGCTGGACAGTTCCTTTGCTTCACATTAAAATCAGCAATTAGAAGAGGGAGGTGGATGCCTTACAAGGTGGAAGATAAATGTCAGGACTTGGGAAGGCATCTTCCCCAGAAACAGGCACACTGCTTTCTTCAGATGGAGTGTATGGATGCAGCAAACCAATACATATACAAACATAATATAATTCTAACTCTGCATCTATTAAAACAACCAGGATAAATTATGAAGTGGCTAAACCTGACACTTGCACTGAGTAGTACATAGTCCTTGCACATGAAGCATAGAACAGCCTCTCCTCTCTCCCTTCAACCTGACTTTGGCTTTTTGAGGAGAAAATTGTTCACTCACAGCTTTTGGCTTTTGTTTAAAGTCTTTATAACCAGCTTGTAAAATATGTGTAAAATATAACACATCTGGCCTGGTGAGCTGTCAAGTGTTGATGGATTAAAGGTGGTTACAGATCTTACATTGTTACATTTACAGATGGAAGGAAATGGGTCTAGCTCTTGGAGAAAACAGGGATGTGTTAGTTACATAAAAGGTGATCACTTTTACAGTAAATAAACCATGTCCTTTAAAGTAAGAGTCCTAAACACTTTATATTCTGCAAAAGTGCTCAAGATCGTTTTTCCTAGAGCAAAATCTCAAACACTTGGTATTTGAAGGCAAAACAAAACAAAATGAAAAAACAAACCTCATTACTCCTATCTTTTGTGACCACTACACCTATACTTATTTGTTCTTTCGTTATTTCTTTGCCCACAAGAATATTGAAAATGGTCTTGTTTATTGAAATATTTGGAATCAGATATATTTTACTGTCTTGTAAGTAGGGGGCCTCGTGTTGGGCTGTTGGATGGTTTTAGCTGCAGAATCGTAGTCTTGACCTGACAGTTTCAGACAAATCTCAACGGAGGGTTTCTCCAAAGTGACTGTACCATTCATTGTAACTGGAACAGAGTTAACAAAACAACAGCACAAAAACTCAATGGCAAGGGAAAATCACAGTTTTCCTCAGAGGAGGAGTTTTCAATACAGGCTTGCCATTTATAATGCAACTTGTACTACTGGTTGCTCAGGATATTTAAAGTTAAATTTTCATTGAAGCTCTTATCTCATCCAATGTTCATTAAATGTAATTCTGCCTACAGGTGTAGGTGAAGGCATACAAGGTAACTTCTAGCCAGAATATCCATAGGGGGTGACCTAAAAGTTCAAAAGGAACATTTTTGTTAATAATACATATTCAATGGTAGAAGAAGGTGGTTGTTATGCAGCCCCGAAAGCATGGAGATAAGACTCTCCCAACTCTGGCAGCCCCAGCGGCACAAGGTGGAAGCAGGCAGACAGCTGAGCGTGCAACAGTCCATTTCTGCACATCTTCTCCGGGCAGCTCCTCCTTTTGCCTTGATCATACAGACTGTTTCTGAAGTTTGCTATAGCCGAGCGCCATGAGCTCTGGGGCATAGTGCTCTCTGGCAGTGGTCAGGGTCACCCTGGAACTCAACTATTTGCTCCATAATAGTATCATGGAAATCTTGTTTACGGTGAGGAATACAGGTATTTTCAGTGAAATGACACTATTAGTGATAATTACCATAGAAGGGCCCAGATGATGGCAGAAACAACGTTCAGAATGTACCCAAGGATCATGAACAGGCAGAAGCAAGGAAAAAGGAGGTGGATCATCAGCTACTCATACCAGCCAACGAGCAAGAAAAGCTAAGGAGACTTGTCAGTAATAACTTTGCTCTTCAGCAGAGTATGGGACCAAACGTCTACCAGGGAGGAAGTACCCTGAGGCATAGGAACTGTGCTTAGATTCTTCACCAGGCAGGTTCTATGCTTATTCTCACTACTTGTTTTGATTACTAAGCTTGGACTACTCAGAAAACTCTCTACAAAGTATTCTCATTTTCCCAGACCTCATGTCCTTTATATACATTCAAGCTGAATATATCCAAGAGACACACCATTCCATCCCAATCTATAAAGGAAGTTACCATCTTGAAGTCCTGAGCTAGAATTGATGGAGTGTCCAAATCCCTACCGAGCTGACTATCCACCCTGGCAGACAGTGGGTAAGAACTGCCTTTGACAGGGTGAGACTCTGGCATATACATTTTACTGAATGGAACTGTGGGTTCTGGGAGGGAGACATGGAAGCCTGATGGCTGGAGAAGGATATGAAACTTAGGGCAAGACAGAGCCATCAGAGACTTAAACCCTTTGCACAAAAGCAGAACTAGTTCAAAAGGAAAAACTAGGTATGGCAACTGTCAAAGCTAGAGCTATCAAGAACCAAATCCTGGGAATCTCTTCAAAACCACCTTATGTTTTTAATTTTAGTAGATACTATTACAGTATATTTGGAAAATGCAAAAAGTAAAAAAATTTTTAAAAATTCATACCTTACTACCCAATCAACCAACTGTTGGTAGCTTGGTATATTCCTTTCTAGCTTTTTCCTATACATTTCCCACATTACTTAGTGGGTGCATACTTTACATATGTGTCTGCTACTCATTCTTTGAATATAAACATTTATTTTATGTTGCAAACTCTTCACAAATATGACTTTAATAGTTGCATAATGTGATCATTTTCTACTGGATATTATTGGATACTTATTGGTATTACTGATTTTCACTAGAATAAATAATGCTGCCATGAATGTTTATATGCATAATTGTTTTCTACATTCAGCATTACTTCCTCAACCACAGGCCAGTGGGTCAAAGATAACATCTTTTTAAGGCTTTAAGAAATATTACCAAATTATGTCCCAAATGACATCTATTTAAACTTACTGGATAGCTAAAAAGAGATATAAACAATTATGTGAGGAGTGTTCTCATGTACAACAAATTTTGTGAAATCTCAGGGAACTCGAATTCAGTAATACTCTCAGAAGTTTTATCTCAATAAATACTCCAGGATATTTATTTTGGGTATGTGAAATGTTGTAGACAGGAAGGATGGTAAATACTACAATTGGGATTTTAATTATGGTACTATGTACCTTAAGCCATTTTTTTGCTTATCTTTCCATATGCACCATGTTTCATTGAGTCTAAGATGCACATTTCCCCCTACATGTAACACCTCAGAAGCATCATCAATTTAATTGACCGTAGTTTTGGTTTTTCTTTTTTAGTAATGCACATACTGATGGTACATCTAACCATCTGTAGCATATTGATTTAATGAAATTCAGTAATTTTAGCTGGAATACAAGGGTCATAGTCTGCTGCTCACATCTGAATGGACCCAACACCCACTACGTTTGGCATAAGCTATGTATGGATTCTGGGGCCAGAGATCAAACTAGTAACAGTGTCAAAGTGTAGAATATTAAGGATAGACTCAAGTGAAGTCAAACCTTTTATTATTATGGTAACCTGGGGGTATGGAAGTTATGTTAGTCTTATTATGTACGATTAAGTTTTGGTGTTCAGGGCACTATGTTAAATAGTACATGAAATTACAGCTGTGAAATAAAGTCATTTATAAAGGGAGAGAGACCACATACAATGCCCTGTCCTACAGGCTCAACTCCAACATCTGTGTTGCTTCTCAGGTGTGAAAGTTACTTTTAAAGTTTCATGGAGGTAAAAGAACAGAATTATGTATGTCTTTGTGTAGATAGACATAGGTCAGGGAAGAAATACCACTTAGAAGAGGAATTCATCCAGCCTTGCAAATTATTACATGCCTGAGGCAGGTAACAATTTATGCTGAACAGGTAGTGAAGAATGCTAATATCATGTACTTTATATGCTATGTGCCTTCTGAAAAGGATGATGGAACTTGCCAGGTTGATATACTTAAAAACTTTATTGAAAAGCAGCATTTTGATAATTTTACATATATCGAATAGGACTTATGGCAGATAAAAAAATATACTTTAAAAATGTTAGACTATTTAAGAATTTATTTAAACATAGTCTCTCTCTCTCTCTCCTTCCCACTCTGTGGAGAGACTTAGCTGATCATAAGAAAAATATCTGGGGGTTTAAATGATGACACTTGAATATCGATCAAAGATGTCTTCAGGCCATCTAAAACCACACTATGATGTGAAGTAATGCCGATATAAAGACACACTCAGAACACTTGCCTTAATGTATGCTATTTAGTATCTTGTTCAATTCTGAGCACTATGTTAAAAGAGGGACAGTGAAAACAGAGTTGGCCAACCAAGATGGCTCCATCAGTTCACTGTTTTCCATCTTCATCCTCTGGTTCTTCCCCTCATGAAATTAACATGCTGACATAGCTACCAAAGTTCAAGGATGACTTTCAGTCCATATATTGTTTGTTGCAAAATCAGATTCTTCTTGAGTCTATTAAAACCCTTTACCTTGGATCTCAACGGTCAGCGCCATCTAAATACTTTGGCTGCTTCCCCTGAGTCTCCATCAAAGGATCCTCTCTCTTTTTTTTTTAAATGTCCTTTAAGTATTAATGTTGTATACGGCAGCACCACTGACCCTCTTTTGTTCTGATTTATCAGTATCTGTAACTTTACCGATGTACGAGGGTATCCATATCCTTCTTTCTAGACCAGGCCTTTCTCCTGAGCTCTATATCTATATGTCTGATTGTGATGGATGGCTCACGGACACCTCAGTCTCCATAAAAATCACTATTTATGCCTTAAAAAACAGTTCTCTTATATTCTCGAACTCAGGGAAAAGAACCATCACTACTCTGTTACACAAGAAGTCTTGATTCTGTCTCCTTGTCTCTCTCTAACACGCAGCTAGTAACCAAGTCATGCTGATTCCACCTCCGCCCCCTGGGTCTTTGACATTCATTCCCTCCTTCTACCAGCTCTGGTACTTCCCTGTTCAGGCCTGTGTTATCTCGAATATCTTAAGACTGTCCAACTAGCTTTGACTTAATTCCATCCATCCTCCATTCTGTACCAGAGTAATCTTTCCAATATACAGATATATACACTATTATTTTCAACTTCTGGCATTATCACTCACTGGTTAAAATTCTTTAAGGCCTCCCGGGCAGTGATGAGATAAATCTAAACTCCTCTGTGTGGTCCTCAATGAGCATGTTCCCACCTACTTAGCTATTTTTAGATTAATTCGTCCTTGTGCAACCTATGCTTCAGCCACTATGAATTAACTGCCATTCTCCAGATATCTCTCCAGTGGTCTAGCCATGGATAGTGATTCCCTGGAAAGGAGTGAACTGTCAGTAAACTTAAATGCCTAAGCAAAATCTGTGGTGGGTTCCAAAAGAGAGTCCATCTAGCCTTAAGGGAGACAAGTATGGATGGCCTGTGAGGGTACATCTGGCCCAATGGGAATGTATGGACAGACACAAGTATGTGAACATGGCCAAAATGCTGTGATGGCACACAAGTGGAAGCACTGAATTCTCTAGTGAATAGGGTATAAGAAACTATCTTTATAGTCCCAAATTATTTTTACATTTTGTGAGGATAAAATTGAACTTTCTGGTTAAAACAAATGTATAAAATACACAAAAATATATAATAAATAAATGTATAAAACAGCCTAAAAAACACAACCACAAAAAACCAACAACAACCCATCAAAAATCTTTTGAAGCTCTAAGTTTAGAGGCAAGTACATTATGTTTTGATAAGAGAAGGAAATATTTAACTCTCAAAATGTAAAGCTGATATAACTCTTCTTTATTTTATTTTTATCATGTTAGCATCAGGTCCTTTCTTGTGAACTGCTGCTGTCTACTTAGGCCCCATTCAAGGCTCAGTTCCTTCTGATCTGTGGCTCTGCTCAGAGGTCTGGGATCTGCCATTCTTCTGAACAACCAGAGCCCTGGAAATCTGCACCACCCATATGTTGCTCTGAATGGACTATAGCATGGTCCATTTAACTGTTTCTTTCGTAAACACTGTTTATCTCACTAATAAGATCATATGCTTCATGGGGACATGGTCAGGGTTACTTTTATCTTGGTGTTCCATACTTTGCACTACACCTAATATACAGTCAGTTGAGTGAAATATAATGAGTAAATGAACAAATGAATCACTTTAGAAATTTCTCTTTATCATTATTTCTAATCTCATCTGATGCCCCAAAACATATCTCTATTTCTCATATTCTGGTTTACCAACCAACAAGTAAGCAAACAAGAAACAAATACACTTTTGAAACAATCAACAAAACTAAAAGGCAACCTATAGAATGGGAGAAGACAACTGCAAATGACATATCTGATAAAGAGTTAGTATCCAAAATACATAAAGAACTGATATACCTAACTCAGCAGTCCCTCTCCCTAAAACAATGCAATTTAAAATGGGCAGAAGACATGAACAGACATTTCTCCAAAGAAGACATACAGACTGCCAACAGACAGATGAAAACATGCTTTATCATCACATTTTATCAAGGAAATGCAAATCAAAACTACAATGAGATATCACCTTACACCTATCAGAGTGGCTAAAATAAAAAAAAAAACCCACAAGAGACAACAATGCTGGTGAGGATGTGGTGAAAAAAGGACCCCTCTTATACTGTTGGTTGGAATGGAAACTAGTGCAGCTATCATGGAAAGTAGTATGGACGTTCCTCAAAAAGTTAAAAATAGAACTACCCCATGACCCAGCAGCCATACACTGGGCACTTACCCAAAGAATACAAGAACACTAACTCAAAGGAATACATACACCTATGTTTATAGCAACATTATTTACAATAGCCCTGGTATGGAAGCAGTCTAAGTGTCCATCAGTTGATGGATAAAGAAGATGTGGCATATATATAATGGAATATTATTCAGCTATAAAAATGAAATCTTGCCATTTACAACAACACGGATGAACTAGAGAGTATAATGCTAGGCAAAATAAGTCAGTCAGAGAAAGAAAATGCCATATGATTTCACTTATATGTGGGATTTAAGAAACAAAACAAACAAGTAAAGGAAGAAACTAAGAGAGAGAGACAAACTAAGAAAAAGACTCTTAACGATAGAAAACAGACTGTTGGTCACCAGAGGGGAGATGGGTGGGTCGGGGGTGGGGGTGGGGATGGGTGAAATAGGTGATGGGGATTAAGCATTGCACTTGTGGTGAGCACCAGGTAATTAAAATTAAAAATAATTTGTGCAAAGGAAAAAAATACATTTTTCTTAGCACAAGCTTGTCCCACTAAGCCTCTATCACTTAATACATCTGAAGGAAACGCTGCGACATTTCAGGGGATAAAAGTATATTTAACATATATACAGGATGACATCTGCACATTACCTAACCACTATCTTGATCCTTCTGATTCACAATACTTTAGAATAATGATTCAGAAGATCAATTAACACAGACCGAGGACTCAATACAGACAACATGAAATAAGGAGCCCAGGGCAAACCATTAAAATATGTTTATGAAAAACCCCCGTCGCATACTGGCACAACAGTTGTTGCTTTGAATGCTCATGCTCCTGAGTCCTCCAGTTTTGCATGGGAAGCAGAATATGCACCTCAGCTGACAGTGTTTTATGGGGAACAAAAGTGTGACCCAGGTAACAATACGCAGTAGCATGAAACTTAACACTGAAGGTTAGCTGACGGTTCAGGTACATAAAACATGGTGCGACAGTTCAAGTCTATTTTCAGGGACGGAAGGAAACTATTCAAGCGGGAGCTGATCCACATGGAAAACCACTTACCCAGGATTTGCTTGCTCCTTCACTCTGATCCAAGGCACCAGGAAGTGAACAATATTTTATATAAACACTGAGTTCTCACACAAAAATCACATAACAACACTGAATTCTCAAAGAACTTTTTAAAAGTCAATTATAGACTAAATGAAGAAAATATTTCAGAGGACGTGCTCACTGTAAAAAAGTATTACATGCAGTTTTAAAGCATTTTTATCAAAAACCTCAACTTTGATATATATAAGGATTAGTATTAAGATCAATATAATATGTATTGAATAGTATATAATGAATATATTGAATAATATATTTTACAATGCATAATATGTCTTGAAATATATGAGTCTAGCTTTGGGGAGTATAAGTTAGATAGGAAGAAAATCCTAAAAATATAAATCAGAAAAGAAAAAACAATAGGTAATAATAATCAGTACTTTTCAACGGATTAAGTTGTGGTGTAATTGGGAAAAAATATTAAGTGTGGAAGATCCAGTAGATTCTGTTCTACTTAACACTGGATGGAATATATTCTAGAACATATTTTAGAAAGAGTAAGTCATATATAAATGCATGATTCTTCTTTTAAAACCAGGGGTTGCCTTATAAATGACCATTGAGAGGCATCAAAAAGTATTCAATCAGCCAAAATAACAAGTCTATGCTTACAAGCAAGTTTCGTTGACTTTTGCTCTTACCTTGACTCTTTCCTTTGCAAGAAAAGTTTAATTTAACTTTAATTTAAAAATTTAAACCGGCCACTGCAACGTCTTGGGGGAATTTCGATTGAACATGCCATCCATGACGGACCACCTCCACCCCGATCTTCGCCTTACAGGGTGGGGAATGTGTCAAGACAGTGAAACAAACACCTTTGTTTACCTGAGACAGTGACTGTCGGAGCCGTGCCACCTGCGCGCTATGGCCTGTATTGTGATCCTGTTCAGAAACCATCTGCTTAAGCTTTTCCTTCTCTATAGCTATGCTATTAAATGCAGACTTCAAAAGAGAATGCACTGGGTGAGGAAAAAAGTGAGAAACAAAGATCAAATGGATCCAGAAAGAATATACAAAATTATAAATTTCTCAGCACTTTAAGTCATGTATAGACCTTATCTGGAAAGATGATCTTACAGTCTAATTACAAGACAGCCTTACAATGGAATCTTTCAAAATACCAATACACAGAACAAATACAGTAATGGTAATTAATCAGGGTGAAAATTCTAGCATTTCCTATGAGAAAAGACTTAGAAACAGGACACAAAATAAATTTATATTAATTCTTAAATATCAATTTTTTAAAAATTAATTTATAATTCCTATAAGGAAACGGGAATAAGTTTTACTTTGCATTGATAAGAATATTAACAGTTCTGTGTACAATGAATTCTCATGTAAATCATTTAGAACTGTCCAGAAATTATTTCCAAAAGCAGGTACTCAAAGAGAGCACTTTATAAATTCTGCAAAAATAAAACTGGCTGATTTAAAGTCCTGACTAGTTCTCTTTGAAGTAAGAAATGATTTGGTATTGAAAGTAACACTTCAATTACTCTCTCAGCCAGGAACATCTTGATGTAAGAAGTGCTTTCAAAGAGTAGAACTTCTAGTTTTAAAATGAATAAGTTCTGGAAATCTACTATACGGTTTGGTGATTATTGTTAATAATACTGTGTTACATACTTCAAAGTTAAGAGAGTAGATCTTAAATGTTTTCGTCACAAAAAAGAAATGGTAATTATGTGACATGATGGAGGTGTTAGCTGATGTTACAGGGGTAATCATTTTGTAATATACAATTGCATCAAATCAGTAGGTAACCCTTAAACTTATGAAATGGTATATGTCAAACATATCTCAGTACAGCTATGGAAAAAAAAAAGTAAATGTGATCATAAAAACAACTCCTCCCCCCATTTCTGTATAACTACACATTTGTAAAATCTGAGGCCGTCTTTAGTTCTGAAAAAGAAGGCTGGATTTCTAACTCCTATGTTTAGAATAACAGTTTCTATAATATGCAGTCTTCTAAAATAGGAATTTCCTTATCTAAGAATGGTTGCTTTTAAAAGAAGTAGAAAATTTTAGCAAAAAACACTGGCCTGAATGAAGAGGGAAAAACTGGGATCACAACGGAGTCAAAATCTATTGATATGTGCCATGTTCCAGTCATCATCAATTTAAAGTCACTTACTTGATAGCTGGAATACATTAACCCCACTGGCAGTTCTAAAAGCAGACTCTCATACACTTCAAAATCCATAATTCTTTCTAAAGAGTTCACCCAGTAGTCATAGAAAAGCCCTTTTTTCAAGCATAGTTAGGAAAAAAATACGCTGTTTCAACAGAGGCTTTAAAATCCTGTTGAAAATTGGATTTCCTGAAAACCTCAGGATTGCAACTGAAAACACAAAACTTTCCTGGGGCTATCTTCAAATTTATTCATCTCCCTTTAGAGGCTGTGCTATACATACTTAATTCACACATTTGTTGTCTCATTCAATGCTTCTACAACCACCTGCTGCTCCTGCTGTTAGAAGCAGAAGTTCCTGGCTTTACTGGCCACAATCCTATGCTGTTATATACAGAAAGTAGCATTACTCTAATCTAATGACATAATTAGCATCTGGCTAAGAAGTATAATAAAAATGTACTAGGAGATGGGGCACCTGTGTGGCTTAGTTGGTTAAGCGTCCGACTCAGTTTCGGCTCAGGTCACGATATGATCTCAAGCCCTGCCTTGGGCTCCACACTGACAGTGTGAAGCCTGCCTGGGATTCTCTCCCACTGTTCCTCCCCCACTCCCTGTCTCTCTCAAAATAAATAAACTTAAAAAAATATACTAGGAGTAAAATAGGTGAAAGAGAGCTGGCCTTACAGAATTGTAATTGGGAAATCTACAGGAAAAAAAAAAAAAAGAGGGATGATTTAGCCAACTGTTTTAGGGTTATAGAATTGAAGAAATATCTCATAGTACCTCTTTGCTGATGGTTTCAGAGTATAAAATTTTGTGGACTTCAACATTCCTAGAGATGCCCTCAGCCACCAGCCTCTCAAGCATTATTGGGCACTTAAGATGTTCTATTTAGCACACATTTTCAAAATATTTTACCACTTATTACCAACACCCCCAGGGTAAATAAATGTGATTAATTCACAATAAGATGTTAGTGACTGAAAACAACATAATGTATACCTTTCTCCAAGAGATTTTTCATTTTATTTAAGATTTATTTATTTTGAGAGAGAGAGAGACACAGAGAGAGAGAGAGAGAGAGAACCCCAAGCAGGTTCTACACCAACAGTGCAGAGCCTGACATGGGGCTTGAACCCATGAACCATGAGATCTGACCTGAGCTGAAACCAGGAGTCAGATGCTTAACTAACTGAGCCACAGGCACCCTGAGATTATACATTTTAAAAGACAATGCCTGGGAAGGTACTATCTTTGGTCAAGAAATGAATTTCAGTGACTTTAACTTCAATACTATAGCAAAAGCAGGGGTGGTAATTTGGAACCCAGGCTCTTGGTAAACACAGACAGAACTGTTCAGTCCTCCTACAAGCTACTTTCCTGCCTCTTCATTATACCCTGCTCTGGATGGCTGACAGCAATAACTGAACACACCTTACTGAAAATTTAATATTAAAAAAAATGACTCCAAAGGGGGGTCAGCTTCCCCTCCCCTCCAGTCTGAACTGGCCTTGAGGCTCTGAGCAGTAGAGTGTAGCGGAAGTGACTGTGCCTTCCCAGAGCTGGCCTTGAACAAAACTGGCAGCTCTACCCCCGTCTATTCCATTCCCTTGGAGTCCTGAGCCGCCATGGAGGGAGAGAGGGACACAGTCATGTGCAACCTTGCAGCCATCCCTCCAACGTGCCAGGAATATGGGGGAAGCCACCTTGGATCTTTCAGCCCTGCCCAGCCCCTGGCTGAATGCCAGCGAGTGCAGGCAATGCCACATGGCACAAAAGAACTGCCTACCTGAGCCCCGCCTGAACTACAGACTGTAAGGTACAATCGATGAGTGTTATTTAATAAAGGAAAAGAAAGATTCCGGCAGAGTTCCTTGCTAAGTAAAGATAACCCACAAGTATGTAATCAATGATAACTAAAAGACACCAAAAGAAAGATGTTGAGTAGTAGTGTCCTGCTGGCCTGCCTAGGATAACTCTGTCTTTCCTCCTTTTTCTCCCCACTCCTGACACTTTTCTTTGTTCAGTCAAAACTGTAAACCTACGATGTGTTGTATGCCCAAGAGGCAGGTATGGTACCCACTGTAGTCTGTATATAGAACTCCAATCAGTATATACACTGTTTAGTCTTTCTGCCGTGACCACCTAGGCAAGGAGGAGAGAGTAAATGGTAATCTCTCACCAAAGAAGAGAGCTTCTCTAAAGCGCACGTTGTGTTTGTTACCTTTCTGTGCAATCAGACAGAATTCTTCTTGAAGCTTTGTATAATCCGTTGAGCTTTCCAGAGGGTCTGTGAGGTGGCTCGGGGGAGTCTGAAACTCGATATCTGCACAAAGGTTGGGGTTGGAGGAATGCAAGCGAACTGGCGACATGGTGGCACTGAAAGGGACCTGAAAGGGGAAGACAGAGTTAGAAAAGGGCCACGATACATTGTTCCACATTCTCTTACACAGGAAAGATCTCTTCCCTTCTTCAAAATACTAGATTCCTCCCTGAAGACACACCCAGAGACACTCAGCACTCATTAATTTGTAGGTGGGTGGGTGGGAAGGAGTCTTGCTTCCCATGGCTGACTTAGTATTGCTGGTGGACTCACTGGCTTTTCTCTGTTACAGGGAGAGATGGCTACAGAATGCCAGGAAGAAAAGGAATCGATACAGTTGTATCTAAAAAATTACTGGCAGGAAACAGTAGCCTGAACTCTCTTACAAAGTCTGGGTACTGTGTCAGAAGACTTTTTATGCTCACTTGTTTCTGAGCCTGGAGCAGGAGCTGACAGAATGGGTAAAATTTCAAGAGGCACCTAGACAGATTTACTTGCTCCATGGCCATTAGATAAAACGTAAATAAGTTTAATAGTAAATATAATAATGGTTTAAAGGGACTCAAATAAATTTGAAATTGATTAAAATTTATTTGTAAATGAAATATATATTATATAAATTACTGTAGTTTCCCTTTGTATGTCACATACAACACTGTTACACATATGAAATTGGCTTATGAACTGGCCAATATTAAAAAACATTAAGTAAAAAAAGTCATATTACTATAGATTTTCCCAAATGGCTAGAGGTACTTTCTTGCTCATGCTGGATCTGGGCTAGGCTTCTGATGGGTGGGTGCAAATTACCTTTCCCTATCCTTCTAGAAAGTTACACCTGGCCATTACAAACGCCATCAGCCAAACATTCTTAGAAAATGAGAATACCAATTCCTACCGTAAAACAGATTACCAGTAACCTCCCCTCATTCTTACTGCACAGATGTTCACTCAGATATCTTCAAGAATCATTTTTAGACTCTCCAAGAGCTGAATTTTATATAAATTAAGGGGTAAATCACACCTTCTAGCTAAGAGGAAATATGCTTCTCTGATGTATATGTATATCAGAGCTACTTCCTTTTTTTTCATCTTTTGATTTAGCTTTAAACTTCCTGACAGAAAAAGAGAGTGGGGGAGGGGTGAGTAGGGAGGGAGAGACAGAGAGCACGAGAGGGAGAAGAAGGAAGGGAAAGAGGACGTGAAAAGGAGCATGTGCATGTGTTGAGGATACAGAGGACAGATGGAGGACATGGAGCAAATCAAAGAACCTAGGCTGAACCGCAGTCTGTGGACCTCGCTGAGGGCAGCTGGGACTGGAGGCGGTCCCTTGCATGCAGCTTTGCCATGGCAGTGGCAAGGAGTTATTATCTCAAAGGATATCCAGAGCGTACCGGGGAAGGAAGTGAGCATGCAGCTTTCTCCCTAAACTCAGCAAAGCTAAGCATATTAATATATGATATCCAAAACATTTGGTATCTAGAATTATCAAGTCATTCTACTTCATCCTTTGTGGGGACCTTGGCTACACTGGGTTGGGACACACCTACAACTTGTTTATCTTGCCAGGATCAGAATTTTTGGCTATTCCAGAGAAGAGACACAAAATGGCAGAGAAGTCATTTGAGAAAATGGAATCCTTGGGTTCCATAATGTGCTAGAAACCCGGCCAGGTACCTATGATAATAATGACTGAGGTCTTTTGGGGATGTCTCCAAAGGATGCAGAAGAATATTCAAAGATAGATAAAGGGAATTTCTGACCTTAACAGTGGGGATGCTAAATCCAGAAAGAGCTGTGAGCCCCACAGCCCTTTGGGAAGGACACAGAGAATCCATGGGAAGGTTGGTGGAGATCAGGAAGTCATGGGGAGAAACTGTGACTTGAACAAATGGGTGGACCAGGGAGTGTTCATATTTAAGGAGATGGTTTCCAGACACCAAGATTTAGAAGAGCACTTAAGAAAAAGGAAATGGTGGTGTTTAGTGATGGGGAATATAATCATGGAAATGTAATCATGAAAAAGGGTTCTGTCTGCACCCAGGTGTCCTCAACAGTCCAAGGACTGGCATGAGATAGGAGGGAAGACAGGGAGGCTAGGGGAGGCCACGATGCAGTAGAGGCCCAGACATTCCAGCGAGGACTCAGACTTGTCCCTGAGATAATGGCCTGTCTATTAAAAAGTTGGAATCAGAGGCTGAGAAGAAAAACACATATTACACATTTAGTTTTTTGAACATAATGGAAGTTTAAATTGGCAACTTAAACAGTAAAAATGAAACAAAAACCAAAAACTAAAAAGCAAAGAGTAAAAGTGATCTCGTAAATAGCCCCCAGGGGAAAGGACTCAGAATGCTCCATTCAAACTGCAATCATATAGTTCCCTGGGAAATTGAACCTAATTTTTATATACTTCTGGCTGAAAATTTTTTTTGTTAGAAGATGTATATGGAATGAACATTTTAACTGAAGAATTCATGACATAAAATTGAGAATACAAAATGAGATGTATTAATGTACCTCTAATTGAATGGCTTTTCAGCCCCTTCAGTTTTTTTTGTTCATCAATTTGAGTATTATGGGATTCAAAAACTGAAGTGGTAGCTAGGTCTTCTGTCAGTGATGGCTGTGGTGGGGGCTGTCTACAGCTCTCATGGTTTGTGCCCCAGAATCCTCAATGCTGGATGCAGACTTTACACCCGGTTCAGGAAAGAAGTCCAAGCCTACCCTGAGATCCTGTGCCAGGGAATAAACCTCATCCTGGAACATTCTGGTACCAGATAACTGCAGTTTGGAATGGGGATGTTAGGCGGTACTTTGAACAACTGTCTGTACAGAAGTTAAAAGAGAAATGATCGATGGTGGCACTATGGTGCTGGAATTTAGCAATGGGAAACATGACTGAGGAAAGGAAGACACAAAAGCAGGTCTAAGATAGATCCTAAGCATATACAACTGATGGAACAAACGTGAACAGTCTCCTGCTGTCCTTCCTCTGCATCATGCATACAGGGAGCCTCTTGTGGAGAGCAGGGCTGGGGATGGGGGGGTGGGGGAGGTGGGGCGTGGATGCTCCGTGTTCTTCTGGGGGGAGGGGCCAGTGTATCTCTTTTCCCAACCCCCTGTTCTGTTGGGTCTGGCTGATGTGGTAAGTGAGCTGTTTCAGGTTCTAGGGCTAGGAATCAACAAGAATAAACCTCTGAAACATCTCTTTTGGGTATACTTTTTTTTTTAATTTAATTTTTTTTTTTTTTTTTTACAAATAGTTTATTGTGAAGTTGGTTTCCATATAACACCCAGTGCTCATCCCCACAAGTGCCCTTCTCCATGCTTGGGTGTACTTTTCTTTGGGAGCAATCTCAGCAGCCCCAGACACTTGAATGGGTCTCCTTTTCTCTGAGGAGAGTAAGTAGCTAGGAGTCATTTGGAGGAATTCTAGGTAAAATAGGACACACTCAAAATGTATGGGATGAGTTAGTGCTAGGAAGAGGGAAGATGGGGAATTAAGAGGCACACTGACTAAGAGTCACCAGCATCAGATCACTAGAGATGTGATGGGTCTGGGGGATCTGGGGTCTGGGGGAGCAAGCTGAAGGTCCTGCTAGATGGTGTTATACTTTGCTACGGAGTCAAAGCTATAAATCCTAAAGGGGGTTAGAGTAACTATTCCCTCCTGTTATTTCTGAATAACTTCTAAATGTTGCCAGCTTCTGTCATTAGATGTTTGGAATTATTGGAAGTTATTCTTAACTTCTGTGGTCACCGCTACCCTTGGAAGGGTAATACTCTCCTCTTTTAAAAGCTTTTTCTTTTCTGTTTCTCATTCTATTCAAATAGGTTCTGATCCCAGTTTTATTATACTCACTCTATGTATCTGCAGTTAAAAAGATGAACACAGTAGAAACACAATCATTCCCTGCATGCCTTTTTAGAAGGACATTATTTAAGGAACTGTAGGTATTTTCACAAAAGGACCGACTTTCCTTTCCATACTAAGGTATTGTTCTCTCTCTGATAATCATCTGGATTTCTAAATTTTATAAATGAAAGGTTAACAACTATTTAAGTAATTTTACATGTATCTATTGTAGTAATCGGTTATGGTGTCACATATTAGGCATACATTCATAAGATACACATTAATCATGATATCAATTTCATTAATTTGCTTAAATGTTCACAAAACTATGAGTTTAAGAATCAATTCCTTGATAAACTCCAAGCCACTGGTTCATTTCATGATCAAAAGCAATTCTATCTCTCCAAAGATCCAGCTAAGCACTCAGATATAAAGCAGGAGTCAGTTATTAATCAAAAATAGAAAACCAACAATCCTTGCATGAGTATCCATTCTCTTACAATGTAACCAAAACCTTTTCATATTTTTCAGCAATTCTAGTCTTCAAGTATATTCCACCATTAGCAAGAGCAAGACTATTGTTAATTCAGAAAGCATTATCTAATAGTCAAAAAACCCAACATCCATGATTGCTATGAACTGAGTATTCTGTACTTTAAATAGTTGACAGGATGTCAGGATTAAGCAAATATTATGATTTGCTTTTATCCAGCAAAGGTTCTCGTATTTACATATTCTATTTTCTATTCTGCACGCACCATTCACTATTCTAAACAGCTTCTACTCAAGTTAAAATTTTGGTTATTTACCTTATCTGTTTCAATACTTACTCTACCCTCCTAATATCCATCCTATTTTCTCTTAAACAAAACCAAAACAAACCAACCTCTAGATATATATTAAGCACCATTTAACTTTGTAGTTTTCTCCTTTCCACACTATATTTTCTGATTTTCAGCTCAATATTCTTTCCAGAAAACAATTTTCCCTTGCTAGGTGTAATTTGGGTAGCCATTTAGAGATGACATCAAAATTCACCTTTTGTTACCCTCTCTTTTCTTTACTCTCACATCCTTTTCAAATAGTCACAATGCTACAAAAAAAAAAAAAAGCACAATTTATGTCTGTAGTAACATGACTTTTCTTAGAAAAACAAATCAGTTAGAGGTTCTGATATCAGTATGACAAAAAAATAATAATAATAACAGTATCATTTTAGGAAATTCCATACCATACGGAGCTGTTACTTAGTTTTGCAACCTTGAATTTACACGGTTTCTTACACGGACAGTCGAAGAACTGGATTAGATAGCAGTTTTCCATCGCAAACACGAATACCCATGTGCGACACCTGCCATGCAGAGACAGCCAGAAAGCATGCAAAAGCTAGGCCAGCACAGGAGTGGGTTACGGTTGATGCCACTACACACGAGTGGCACCACTGGGACAGGAAGGTGACGCTTGGACAGTTTCTCATTCTTATTAAATGTCCACTTGAGATTGAAATCCACTCACTGTTGTAGCCACTGCTGCTGCTAGCCTCTGCCGGCGCCGAGTGGTGCTGAACTGGCCCTTCGCAGATGGCCCTTCCTGACAGTGAATGAGAGAAGAGGAGGGAGGAGAGGACACGGGGGAGGGGAGGGGGGGATACGGGAGGATGAAAGATAATCAGACAAGGGAAAGGGAGAGTTTTTAAGCGGAGTTGACTTGTCCTAAATTGTAGCCCTGAAAAGTGCTCGAAGGGGCATTCATAATGCTGTGAGAAAAGTTCACTGCTTTCATTGAAGAACGTTTAAACATTTAAGTCTAGCTGCTGAATAAAACCCCACCCCAAAGGGAGATGGGAAATTATGAAGTGATGAATAGCTTGTGATTTTAAGGTAAAATAAATGTACATATTGTTTTCCCCACGCAATGTCATATTATATGAAATCAACGGCATTTCCAATCAATGGAAGCAAAGATGAAACTAAGTTCAGGAAAAATGATTAAATAAGTAATGTGCAAAGGCTAAAACCAACATGTTGTAATGGGTGTCTCCTGTTAGCCAGGCAGGAATTTTTTTGTTCCTTGCTGGGAGGAAAAGTGCCGAGGCAAGGGTACTAGGAATCTTCAGCTTCCCATTTATTCCCCTACTAGGAAGCTCACTGGGATTCAACATTAGGCATGGTGTTGGAGTTTTCAGGTTGGAGAATTTTCCAAGGAGGAAGCCAGTCCCCATGGTATAGAGAAAAGCAAAAAACAAAAAACAAAAAAAACCCAACACAACAACACTCAATGTCCTCAGTGTGTTGGGACAGTGCTTACAAAAATCAACGATGGAAACCTGAAAGCATGGGTTTCATTTAGTGATGGGCATCTATGCATGGACTAGTAGAGGAATCCCAGATTCCCAGAATCCCAGATGTGCATAAGTCGTCCATACGCATTATGTGTATGTTGTACACACACACGCCTATCTAATGTGCTTTCCACAAAAAGTTTTCTATACTGAACCCCTTCATGCTTCATGTAGTACGTAAAAGGAGGCAGAACTCATTTTTACCCTTCAGCACAACTTGAGCACCTGGGAGATCTAGGACAGCTAGAAGGACACATGAACGACAACAGACCCTTTATCTGCTCCTCCAGGCTTCTTGCTAGTACCCATTCTCTCCAACAAACAGGGATCTGGTATCAATTTGTGCAATGAGTCACGTAGAAAGCCTAGCGGCTCTTCAGTTTCTAGCAACCCTTCACAAACCAGTCCCTTCTCATCCTGCTCTACCTCACTGAAAGCACAGCCAAACTGTTCCTGTGTGATGATTCTAATGAGATTTTTATTAGAACCAGAAATCTGAAGTTTGGGAGAAAGTCCTTTTTCTAAAGGTAATCTCCACAGACCTTCCAGGAAAAATGCCTTCAATGAATTACATGAAGGATTTCTGAGGCCACCTTCTCAATAGCTTCTAGTAAAAGTACGGCCACACAGATCTAACATGTAACCTTCATATTCAAATCAACAGCACAACCTAACCTATGTGAAGAATAAGACATCAAACATACAGTATAACACATTCTTCACTGTTACTTTCCTGGGGTCAATTTTTTTAAATGATCTGTTTTATAATCATTTCAAAATAACAACTACTGCAGAATACTGAATACAAAGGTCAGCGTGACAGAATCGGTAACAGCGGCGGTAACAAGCAGCACCACTCCCACCACCAGGCAGTCTAGGTTCTTCCACAAACGGCTGGTGTACAAGTTACAAACAACAGAGGGGTTGAAAAACGAGCCCCTCACAACAAAGCCTCTCACATTAGCTGCCACCATGACACAGAGCAAGTGGTTCAAGCAGGGAGATGACTGTGGGTTCAAATACTTGCCCTTGACTTGTACGATCAAGGAGGGAACAACCTGTGTACTGGGGTGGGAGAAGGTGGTAGGTATGTTTAATCCACTAAATAAAGATATATGCTATGCTTTTCTGTAAGTAAAACAATGATGAGTAAAGACATTTACATTGGTCGTAGGCATGCCCGGCTAATTTTATGGTTCCCTAGCCAAGTGTGCATGTTGGAGTAACTTCCTGTTAATAAAGAATGAGCACCCTGGGGCGCCTGGGTGGCTTAGTCGGTTAAGTGTCCAACTTTCGCTTAGGTCATGATCTCGCGGTTCGTGGGTTCGAGCCCCGCGTCGGGCTCTGTGCTGACTGCCAGCTCAGAGCCTGGAGCCTATTTCAGAGTCTGTGTCTCCCTCTCTCTCTGACCCTCCCCTGCTCACGCTGTCTCTCTCTCTCTCCTAGAAATAAATTAAAAAATATATAAAAAAAAAAAAAAAGAATGATCATCCTAAGGGCTACTAGAAGGCCTGCTGGTTTGGGTGAGCAGCTTAGGGGCAGTACAGTCCCAAATTCTGCAGCATTCACCCTACAATACCCCCCGTTTTACCAGTCCAAGTGGAAGCAGGGTTTCTCTCGGAGTAACAAATAGTTCACTGCCACCTCCAGGCCTCATGACTTCCACTTGGAGTCAGAACTGAATCTCCTACTTTCGAAAGTTTAACATTTCCTTCGTGCGTGGGGATGAAGCGGTTTCAATTTCCCTCAAAGATAACTAAACTGGAATCACAAGGGCCATTTTGTAACTCTTTGGCAAACAGAAACAAAACAAAACAGCATAAGTAAAAATTTAAAAGCAAACTACCCAAATATGCAGCAGAAGTATGAAGAATATTTTCCTGCTTTTTGACCAATTTCTTCTGATGACTCAAAAAAATCTTCATAAACCCTCCTCATTTAGAAAAGCACAGCCTGTGACTAGAAGGGCCATTCAGAGTTGCATTCTTTTTTCTCCAGGAAAAACCGAGTGACACGGGGACCACAGCGAGCCTCGTAGCCACGGCAGGGTGGCCACGGGTCTCTCGCTCAGACTCTCTGAGGACAACCAGCCTCTTCAAGGCAATGGCTGTGAACAGCCATCTGTTCAATGGCATGCCTCAAAAATGAGATTGAAACAATATCTGTCTACAAATGTATATGTTCATATGATGTGGCCTTCTTCAATTATTTTTATAATGGTTCTTTTTTCTTGGCTGTGAGAACCCTAGATACCATGTTTTAAAAAGCACCACAAAACGAGACAATCACATGCTCAAAGCAAATGAAGCAATTTGAGGTAAATTTTTGGTGACGTCATTTAGCACATTTGTCTTCTACAGTATTAATGTTCTGAATAGAAAACACACAAAAACATGCTGAATAAAGGAACACAATAAATTGTGTCATAGAATGTGGACAGTCTAAAAAAATCATGAATCTTTAGTGCTTGTGAAAATTTATTTTTAAATATATTGTGTTAGCAAGCAAAGCATCAAAGAGTTTGCTACTTACACATTCAGACTTACATACAACACAATAAATATCAGTACGGTCAGAATTAGAGAATTATTATTCACTCAGAAGACACTGAAGATTTGTGGAAAGCAGTTCCTTTTACCTTTTGTTGGAATATAAATTGATTTGTGGAGTTATAAAAAGAAAAGCAAAATCCTAAGTCTGATTTTGATTGTTGGGGCAAGAGTTTTTTATATAATATATAGCTAGGATCAGAATAGTAAACATTCTGGTTTAAAGATCTGAAAATAATATGATTTCTGACACAAGAGGTTTTAGGCATTTACCATATTTCATATCACTTCAGTGCAATAACCTAAGATGTTCTTACTTTAAAAGTTTTAAACTACACATTTCAAATAAAGAACTTATTCAAAATCAATTTCAAGTAAATTTATTGTGAGTCATTAAGACTTTCATGATTCAGACTTTAAAAGTGATTGCTGATGGCCAAATAATATCTACTTTTGAAGAATCATAGAATTTTAGAGTTGAAAAGGAATTCAGAGATCATTAAATTAACTCCATCACTTTACTTGGGAGCAAATGGAAGCCTAGAAAATTGAACAGAAATGCATCAGATTATACTGCCAGGAAATCACAGTGATTACACTAGAACCTGAGTTTGTTGACTTCCAATATTTGCAGACTTCATACTTTTTTATTGACACATAAAATTTTGGACAAAGCTAATACATAAAAGGCTCTTTTAAGATCAAGTATGTATAAATGAATGCTCATTACAACACACTGGAATTGTAGCCTAGATTTTTAAGGTAATTTTTTGTTAAATTACATTTTAATGGTTCAAAGGCCACAAGTGAGAATGAAAATGCGTTTGTAGTCGTATTAAATCATTTTAACCTTTCTCTTAAATTATTTTGACATATTCCAGAGTAAGATGAATGGATTTCCTGCTGTTTAAGATAGTATAACTCAGTCTGTAAAGCATTGGCTTTAAAGCAGTTCAGCTGCTTTAAGCTTCTTAACTTCCATGAACTGATATCTAAAGACTAACATCTTAAAAGCATATAAAAATATGAATGAAGGAAAAGTAAAGTCTGTACCTGCAGTTGTATTTTTGTATCTTTGCTGACACTTTTTGTTCTCCATCGTCTTGTGACTCGCTTGTCTTTCTTTGAAATATCTACACAGTTAGCCTACATTACACAAATAGTTAAAAAGCAACAAAGTATTATTAAGTTCACACACATGATACAGATACAGACAAAGAGAGCATAGCATGTTAGTAAAGAATCCTTGTTAACCACCTAAAGCAAACCAGCCAGGAGAGAAGGTCGTATCTGATGCAAAGTGGGCATTAAAAGCAGAGATAAGAACTTGATCATACAATATGTTTGTCTGCTATACAAAAGGAAAACAAGATTAGAGATCTACAGCTGTTTTTTTTTTTTTTTTACATAAAAAGATGGCAGCAATTCTGAGACTAAGATGTATCTTCAAAGCTATTATTTCTAATGTAACACAAATATGGAAGAATAATTCACATATTTATTTCTTCTACTAGTTTGTACTTAATGTAAAATATACATTAATATGTCAAAATAGATATCTTAGTATAATGACACCAAGAAATCAAAAATATTAAGAATAACTCCAGAATGTAGATTCATTTGTACTGTATTAGTCATTTCCTTTTCAATGTTACCTTATATATTCATAGAACAATCCAGTAAAAATTCTGTGTTAATGACTTAAACTCCTTTTGGTAATGTTTACCTGCATGTCAGTAAAGTTAGGTGCTGACTGAGTTCTCTGAAGTATTTCCAAATTTTGCAGGAGTTTGCTAAGTTCCACAAGGTTTGACTGGCAGTGTGCAAGGTCTAAGAAAAATCAGAAATAAAAATATGTTAGAACTGGGCAGGGAGGGGCAGGGATGGTAATAAAAGACAGTCAATCCAAATTATGGCAAGTATGATTAGGTAGATCCATGTTTACATAATGATGCTACTGGCAAATGAAACAAAATAGGCCCTTCTCTGGAATAGAACCTTAAAAGCATTGAGGATTAAATGAAGTCAATGCCTACTTAAAATTAACAGCTAGTCATTACAATCTCAGTGAAATTGTGTTTCTTCACTATCCTGTTCAGGTGGCCCTTTTCACATAGGAAGCACACTCAAGGGAACCGCAGCAGTTGTATGGTTTTAATCTTGGGAACCTATCTACCTGCTCCTAAAATAGTTTATAAGGTGGCTACCTGGAATTTAGATGGAGTCAAAGTCAAGTTCAGAAATATGAGATGGAATACAAAGCCAGACATATTTGTCTGTGGTTTAGATCGCTAACAATGTTGCAATGAATGATTTCTTTAAAATCTATGAGGGATGCTATACCAAACACAACCAAAGATTCTTGAAGTGTGTTCCCTGGCCCAGCAGCACCAGAATCACCTGGGCATGAAACTTATTGTTTGAATTAATGATTAATGAAGAAATGGCTTTTAACTTTATTTTTAATTTTTGACTGTATTTGAACAAGAGAGAATTTTAAAGATTTGCATAATAAAATATCACTCTTAAAAACGGACTTTTGGCACATGAAATTAAATACAGCCAAGAACATTGAGTTATTAGTATTACTTACACAATTATCAACATTCAGAACATGGCTGTAGTTATGTGATTACTTTTGGATGTATACTATTTATAAAGAGATCGTAATAGGACAAGTCTACAAGTTAGTTATATTATAAAGTAGTTATAATATGAAGTCAGTCAAATTTTGGTGAAAATTTCATTTATATTTTCTTTGTTTCTCACTGAATGTCAAGGATCTGCATTTTTACAGATATAGTATAGGCAGCAAAATACTGTTATTAAATATGGCTAAAGATTATTTAGCCAAATAACATAGGTAGTTGTGTTTGAGGGATTTTTGGCTTTTTTGTTGGATATAAAAACAGAGGAGTAACTACTACGAGAGTCTTTCTAGGACTCCCAATCACTGCACGCTCTATGGAGACCAGGGTAGCAGGAATTTTAGGGCCAGGCCATACCCTCTTCTTTACACTGACCCTGAGCATGGAGCCCAGGTGGGCTGTTCAAGGGCTACGGTTGTTATTCGGAGAGCTATTGGCCATCAATGGCCTTTGAATTCCTTCAGAGAGGGAGCCCCATGGAGGTGTGGGAAGGAGAGTACTGACGGAGACAGCACCTGCCACCACCTTCAGGGGAGGCCACGCCCTTGTGCCCCCATTCTCTTCCCTATGAGAAAACAAGGGTCCAGTGGCTCAGGAGGGTAGGAAATAGAGAGCAGGAAAGGAAAGGAAAGAGGAAAGAAAGGAGTGCAAATAAGGATGGAGGGCTAGAGGGAAGAGGAGAAGGGAGATGGGCTAGAAAGTGCCTACATTTTAATTTGGATTTTATTGATTTTATTTAAATGTTTTTTAATGCTTATTTATTTATTTTGGGAGAGAGAGAGAGAGAGAGCATGAGCAAGGGAGAGGCAGAGCAAGGGAGAGAGGGAATCCCAAGCAGACTCTGTACCATCAGCGCAGAACCTGACATGGGGCTCAATCCCACGAACTGTGAGATCGTGATCTGAATTGAAATCAAGAGTTGGATGCTTAACCGAGCGAACCATCCAGGTGCCCCTAATTTGCATTTTAAAGAACAAAACTGTATCATAAGCACCATGCTAGCAGGGACATTATTTCACATTATCCATGCATTGAGCCTTCCAGCCAGTGAATATGACATCCATGCTTCCTACTAAGTGTGATTATTGTACACAAACGGTGTATGGAGGTAGCATAGCAATCTGGAAACGGGGCTTCAAACCATCAAAATAACATCCACTCTTTTTCTAACAGAATGGAAAGAGAACTTCATGAATGAACGTGATTCAAGGCAAGAGACCTGAAACTAAGAGTCAGGAGACACGGACTGACTTTACATGTCCTGGCTGCAGTCTCTTCACCTGCCAAGTGGTGGCAGTAACATACCCCCCCTTCCCTTTCTGTCTTTGAGTAGCAAGTGAGGTGGTAGATGGAAAAACGCAGAGGAGTATTGATCCCTCTGTGGTTAATCATGCCGCAGGGCCTTAATTTGGAGTAAGCCGCATCAGTCCTCACCATTTCTATCACTCGAAATATGGGAGAGATGAACTCCTTGGCGGGATTTCACTGTTCACCTAGTGTCTGGATGTACATAGGATTATAAAATTTTGCCAAAGGCAACAGAAATACCTTTAAAAAAAAAAAGAAATCTCTAGAATTTCTTTAAACTAAGATTAAATCTAATTTTAGCAATAGGGAAAAAGGAAAAACTATGCCAAGAAAAAAAAAACTGCTGAGATAGTTCATAATAGGGAACAGTAAAAACCTAAATATCTAGCAATGTACTTATTTTCCCAACATGCTCTACCTTGTTCCAAAAAGAAACAAGTCGTCTAGCTGTGGAATGGTTAAATAAATGAAGGTATGTCCAAAGTTATCATCCTATGATTTCATTTAGAGACCACTGATGGGAGATACTACAGTTCTAAGTACAGAGGAAATAGCAATCAAGTAAGATTCATGGAATATACATTCTGTTAAAAAACAACAACAACAAATAAACACTTTCTATGTTTTAATACATATCCATCTTCAACACTGGCATACGAATCCTAATTTAACATTTCATTTCCATGGGGGAAAAATACTCTCCAAGAGCCAAGCAACTCCCTTACGTAACTGAGATCTGGACTGATTTAAGTTCAGATCTATGAATGGTCTGCCACTTTGAGGATTAGCACTATAAATCAGATATTTTATGGGTTCAAGATGCTACATGATGAACTTCTGAAGTACAAACCTCAATACTGGGGACTCTATGAAATGATTAGGAGAGACCAAAAAAAAAAAAAGTGTTGTGAGAGTTTAGAAAACAGAGAGTTATCATGGTTTGATGTCATCAGAGCACACTTAAAAGAGACAGTGGAAACTTTCCTAGGTCTGGAGGATTGATGGGAAGGATTCAGCAAAAGAGAAAGGTGGAGAAGGACAGAAAGGGCCCTGCAGGTGGGAAAGAACAATGTGTGCCAAGGCACAGAGGAAGGAATATGCAAGTATGTCCAAGAAATAGCAAATAAGTTCAGTTGGGCCAATGGAAAGCAAAGTGGAAAGGGTAGGTAGGGCCTGAAAGCTGGAAGGTGGATGTTATTATTATTATTATTATTATTATTATTATTATATATTTTTTAAGTAGGCTTCATGCCCAGTGCAGAGCCCAACATGGGGCTTGAACTCACAATCCTGAGATCAAGACCTGAGCGAGATCAAGAGTCAGATGCTCCACCGTCTGAGCCACCCAGGCACCCCTGAAGGGTAGATGTAAAGGGCTGGGCTAAGTAGTTTGGGTTGCAGAGCCCATGGAGAACCACTTGGAGGGATTTTTGCATAAAAGCTATTTAAAGAAATGTCAGTCTTGATGGGAGAAGTATGTCACGGGCAAAGAACTGGCTTCGGGGTTAGTCCTTCATCTTCACCAGGGCAGCTGTGTAAGCTTGGGAAAATTCCTTAACTTGCATGCATTTCATTTTCCTCTTCTGCAAAGCTGGGGGAAGTTATATCTACATCTTACAGCTGAGTGCAATGACCTATTACATGCCAGCCTGCGTGGCTCAGTCGGTTAAGCGTCTGACTTAGGTTCAGGTCATGATCTCATGGTTCATGGGTTTGAGCCCCATGTTGGACTCTGTGCTGACAGCTCAGAGCCTGGAGCCTGCTTCAGATTCTGTCTCCCTCTCTCTCTGCGCCTCCCGTGCTTGCCCTCTATCTCTCTCTCACTCTCTAAAATAAATAATAAACACTAATAAAAGTAAGTGCTGGTCCAGAGTTGCAAAAGCGTTCAAGAACAGCAATTTCCCATGAGCCTGTGAGAGGTGGAGCAGCAGAGCAAGAGACTGAGGACGAGAATGCCAGCCAGGAGGCTGCTTACTGGCCAGAGAGTGGGTGAGCGGCGGGTCTGAGGAGGGAAGAAACTTGAGAGGAAGGGCAGATGAGGGCGTGGGTAAGGGTGGGTGGTTTCAAAGAAATAAAAGAACTCAGTTTGGGATAGATGAACAGAGTGGGAGGGCCAAAAAAACCTCTGAGGTCTCAGAGGTGGTTAGGACAGCAGCACTAACCAAAACAGGGAAGCCCAGCAGCTGGGGCTGTTTCAGGGAGGAGACAGAGGCTGGTTTCAGACAGGCAGAGGAGGGGCGTGACAGGGAGCACACACAGACAGAGCCAGCGGTGAGGAAAGGAGGCAGGAACGTAGCCTAGTCTGGATGAGGAGCTGAGATTCATACAGTTTTCAGTCTTTTTGAGAGAGATATGGTGCAGGTGCTCTGGAGTTAGACCACCCACGCTTGAACCCCAGTTCCGCCGTTGCTGTGTGAGCGGAACAAGCCATAATTTGATGAACAAGCCATTGCTGCTTGGTCAGAGTGAGTTGATTCCCCTGTATCTAGGTTTTCTCATCTGTAAAATGGCTTTGAGAGGACTGAATGAGTTGATGTACACAAAACACCTATGATAGCGCCTGTCACACAGAAGAGCCCGATACCTATTAGCTGCCGCTATCATCGCTGCCACCGTCCCTACCCACCATCACCGTTGCTGCCACCACTACCATCACCATCACCATCACCATCACCACTATCTCATCAGAAGAGAGATCCCAGCTGAAACTATGAGCGTGTCTGTCACTTCCAAAGTGCAGAGTGTAGTTGTTAGAATCCAGGTGGCCTGCCCTGGCCCTCCAGCTCTCCCTAAGTATTTGCTGTGTAACATGGGCTAGGTATTTGAACTCTCAAAGCATCAGTTTCCCTATCTATCAAAATATGGTTCATAATTCCTGCCGGGTACTACTGTGAAGATTTACATAAACCATATATGTAAAGTGCTCAGTTCAGTGTCTGGCCCATAACGAGCTCCCAGAGTGACTATTACAGAAGCCGAAGGCAGAAGACTGAACCTTGATCATCCCCACGACCAAGGCTGTCCAGATGAGAATCCAGGAAAATGGAGGAGGAGCAGTTGGAGAAAACGGAAAACTTCATGGGGCCTAAGGGAGAAGGCTCATGGAGAAGGTTCTACAGGGCAGGTCAGAGGATGAGGTCCGAGAACAGAGTGGAGACCAGTTGGCCTCTTGCTATCAAGAATGCCTTTTTCATTGAGCAAAAAGGGCAAACATCAAATTATGGAGAGAAGCTGGAGTCTATGGACGGAGAGCAGAAATGAATGAAAGATGAGGCTGTCTCCTGGAGAAGAGGAAATTACTGCGCTAAATCCTGACAGAAATGGAAAGGCAGGATAGAGGACACAGGTAGAGTAGTCAGGGTGGGGAAAGGCAGGACCACCCCTGAGACAGGGGAGAAGACACAGGAAGGGTTATGGAGTATTCCAGAGCACACAGGGACACAAATGCATCCCTCTCTCCCCCAACAGCCAGGGGGCTTTCCTGGCATCAAAGTCAATGTCTTTTCACTTTGGTCAGATGAATGGATTTTGTCCCATTGGACGGTGTCAATCTTGTCAGCAAAGGAGGCAGCCATGTTAAATACCATGAGTGTGTACAAAACTGCAGATGTTAGCAGAGAGGAAACATCTAGAACCACTGCTAAGGTGAGACTACAGTGTTTCAAGACAGTGAGGTTTGGCTTCCTTCTCCAACCTGCAGTGCATATACTCAAATGAATGTCTCTGTGTTTTGTGAATACATTTAAGTAAAAGCCTTTGAATGGAATGCCAGCTGGACATGCTTTATGAATATAACATCCTGCTTAAAATCACATTTTCACATAAAGACTCAGTTTAGGATGTGCCCAACCAGATTTGGGGGTTGGGATCAACATGAATTGTCACACTTTAATTTTTCTAATTGAGGATGTAAGAAAATAATTTAACATCTACTTTAACCATAACTTCATAAAAGAAAATACTTTAATATAAATAAGTTAGGCCCAATATCATCACAAAATAATTTTAAAAAATTAAATCAAATTAGCTTTATTAAATCCTTGCTATGTTATCCTTGTCTTCTCAGTTTAGAAGGTCAATTGAAAACTGTCTCAAAAAATAGAAATGGTCTGTGGCAGTTTGGACCAAAATGCTCAGTCAGGCTTATTACAAGGGTGTAGAAAAGTTTCTGGAGATTAGGAGGCTCAGAGATGGCAGAGTGAAGGAATCGTGTATAAGTTAGGAACGTTTAATAACTGTCCCACAGTGTAACACCAGTAACAGGTAACTGTGGCTAGAAGATGCCATATAATTTTTTTTTTGACTTTATTTATTTATTTTTTGTTTTTTATTCATTTTTATTTTTTTTAATTTTATTTATTTTTTTTTTTACAAATAGTTTATTGTCAAATTAGTTTCTACATAACACTCAGTGCTCATCCCCAAAGTGCCCTCCTTCATGCCCATCCCCCCCTCCCCCCCACATCCATCAGTCCTCAGTTTTTGTCAGCATTCAAGAGTCTCTCATGGTTTGCCTCTCTCCCTTTCCCCCACCATTTCCGCCCTTCTTCTCCCCCTTGGTCCTCCGTCAAGTTCCTCCTAATCCTCCTATACGTGCAAACATATGGTATTTGTCCTTCTCTGCCTGACTTATTTCGCTCAGCATAACACCCTCAAGGTCCATCCATGTTGCTACACATGGCCAGATTTCATTGTTTCTCATTGCCATGTAGTATTCCATGGTATAGATAAACCACATCTTCTTGATCCATTCATCTGTTGATGGACACTTAGGCTCTTTCCATGTTTTAGCTATTGTGGAGAGTGCTGCTATGAACATTGGGGTACATGTGCTCCTATGCCTCAGCATTTCTGTATCCCTTGGGTAAATTCCTAGCAGTGCTATTGCTGGGTCATAAGGGAGTTCTATTGTTAGTTTCCTGAGGAACCTCCACACTGTTTTCCAGAGGGGCTGTACCAGTTTACATTCCCACCAACAGTGCAGGAGGGTGCCCGTTTCTCCACATCCTCGCCAGCATCTAGAGTTCTCTGATTTGCTCATTTTAGCCACTCTGACTGGCGTGAGGTGGTATCTCAGTGTGGTTTTGATTTGTATTTCCCTGATGAGGAGGGATGCTGAGCATCGTTTCATGTGTCTGTTGAAGATGCCATATAATTTTTGCTACTTAGTGCGGGTTGTCGGAAGACATACACTTGCTCTAGGACAAGATGAAGCAGCAGAAAAGGACGCTGTAGAAGGGACTTGGCAGCAGAGGGTGAGGGTGGAGCAAAGGTGGAGGTGCCCTGTGGGCTGCACACGGCTGTGAGACTGCCCCCAGGGTGGTGGTGGGGCGAGGGGGTGGGGGTGGGGGGGTGGGGGGGGCAGGTAGAAAGAAGGAGGCTAAGGAAGAAAGAAAGTTGCTGGTGGTGAGGAGGGAGGTGAGAAGGCCAAGGCAGAAGGGAGTGGAAGGCAGGGGAATGAGGAGACCAGATTCAGTAGTTGGGAGGGTGCGGGAGAACGAAAGTGGAGAGGGGCGATAAGGAAGCCAGAGTCACGGGAAGGGGAAGCAGCTGGTGTAGAAAAATAAGAACAAGAAAGGAGGAGGCAAACAAGGAGGCTGGAGGGGGAAGGACGCAGCAGCCACAATTCACCTCTTTCTTTTTTTTTTTTTTTCTTTGTGACTTTTTAAAAAATTTATTTATTTATTTTGATCAATTTCTTTCATTGCTTTTTTTTTTTCTTTTTTTTACAAATAGTTTATTGTCAAATTAGTTTCCACATAACACTCAGTGCTCATCCCCACAAGTGACAATTCACCTCTTTCATTTCTGTTCTCATAGCTTCTCTTAAGAGCCTGCCCTGGGCAAGAACTAACCTTCTGCACACCTGTCCATTTCTTCTGAGTCCTGTAACCAGGCGGCCACCTTGCTCTGGCCGGTCGTGCAGGTAGCGGGGAGGCTGTTGCTGCATGGTAAAGGGGACTGCCATGGACAGCTGTTTGCTTGCACCTACAATGAACAAGAAGTGTACGGTTAAGTAGGAACAGCATATTGAAGTGATTTAAACAACTTTTTGAGGTATCCTCAAAGTGACATCAAAAGAAAAGAAGAAAGGGCACACTTGAAATAGGGAGGAAGCCTCGGGGCTAAATGTGTACCTGCTCAGTGAAGCCAAAATTCGTAAGTCATGATACTCTCATTAAGCCTCTATCTCCACCATACAAGGAAAGGGACAATATTGAAGTATGTTATATCTTATATCTTGAGGGTCTGCCAGCTCAAATTCCCAACAAATTTAAATTGCTCAGTGAATTGTATTGGACATGGGGTCCTTATTACAGGACTTCTGATTCATGACTGAAGGCCTTTCCTTTCCAGACATTCTCACTTCCTTATGATCATCAGCTCAAGGCCTCATCAGCCACATGTGATTCCTAAATGCATTAACCACCATCCAGCAACCTTGCAATTCTTTGAATGCATATTACAAACTGTAATATATAAAAAGGCAGTCTCGGCAAATTAGTATTGTCTACAGCTGATAGACTTTCCAATAAAAGGATTTTACATGAAATGAAGATGCAGGAAGTATAGTAAGGAGATAATGCAGTGAGTTCAGTGAACACTTACTTGAAAAAGCAGGAACTTACTTCTGAACAAGCTGAAACAACTTCAAAACTCCATATTTGACTTTCATATTAAATTACAATTGATTGTGTCTGTCCTAAATCGTCAACAACCGAAAGATGCATGCATTTAGCAAACCCAGACTTATTACCTATACGGGGCCACATACCAATTAATGCTCAGGACTCTCATAATTTGATACTTAGAATGCAAGCCAAGTGATAAAAAAAAAAAAAACTCTCTTCACTCTTTATTGTGTTCTGCTAAGCATCATGGAAATCTTTCACCAAGTTCAATCTTTAGAGGTATGTCATTTGTAACTACAGCAATAGATCTTCTATGAAAACCAGAGCTAAAGAGCTTTCTTATTACAAGGCAAACAATGGAGAGGAACTGGTTTCAGTTCTCCATTCTTGGGTATCACCCAAGTTATTTAATAAATAACACAGGGATGAAAATAATACATCTTTTATCAATAGTCTATGCCAAAGATGCAGGCAGAAGCATCTTAAAGGATTAAACAAAGGATTAAACGTTCATATTTTTAAAATATCCATCTGGGATATATTTCTTGTTTAGTTTGGACTAACCCTGGATTCATTCTATTCTGTGGTGAGAACGCAGGGGGCCAGAGAAACCTAAGGACTATCTTAATCATCTTGTGTTGGGTCACTCAGTAAGAGCCCTACTTCCTACCCTCTAATCTCCTTTTTCACTTCAGAACTGGATAGTATGAGAGTTAACCCAATACCTTGGTCCTAGGAGGAAGATGTTGGTTAAACAATCCTTGGCAAGGCTACCACCAGAATTATATAAGTTTAAGAGCCTTGTGAAATGTAATTAATGGGATTTAACAAAGATTACTTAAGTGATTCCCATTGAAATTGTACATAGTGAGGATGCCTGAATGGCTCATTCAGTTGAGCATCTGACTTCAGCTCAGGTCATGATCTCATGGTTTGTGAGTTTGAGCCAGTTTGCGCCCTGCCTCAGGCTCTCTGCTGTCAGCGCAGAGCCCACTTCAGATCCTGTCTCCCCCTCTCTCTTCCCCTCTCCTGCTCACACATGCTCTTATTCTCTCTCTCTCAAAAATAAATAGAAAACATTAAAAAATAGTAAATAGCGAATACAGCGGTATTTCATGTAATCTAATTTGAGTAATCTCGCAAATTCCATGAGGTTTTTCAATGTTTTGCTAAGGACGCTTGGATATATATTACATACATCCCTAAATAAAACAGGGAAAAGCAGAATCTTCTCTGAAAGGTTCTTAAACCCAACTCTTTACGGCAGCCAGTTATTCATTCACAGATGTCTGTGTTCCCAATATCAGGTGCCAAGTGGGAAGTTGGAACACCCCTGGGCACGGCAGTGTGGCTATGGTTCAGAAAACTTAAATCACTGAATCAAAGGCAGAAACAACGGTCTTCCTGCCTCTTGCCTTCACCTCGGTTTTTAACAGGCAACACCTCTAGCTTTTCAGCATCATAAAAAATGAACTCTTGATACAGGGCAAAGAACAACTTCAGCCTCCCTTAATCTGGTACTTAGCACAATGGAAAGGGCACTGATTTTGGAAACAAGAGAGAGGAAGATTCAGATTCTGGCTCAGCTGTTTAATGGTTATGTCATTTCTTTGAAAAAAGTGTTTACTGTCTCTGAGCTTAGTCTATATTAAAGATTAGAGATGAGTGTCAAATGCTTAACACAATGGCTTATCACTCAGATAGTCTACTATATATATTATGGTCACATTCTTTAGCCGACTTACCTTAACTTCATGGGTGAATTCAATGGTCTCTCTCTGGGTCATGTATACATATATTATACATATACATATACATATACATATACATATACATATACATATACATATACATATACATATACATATACATACAGCTCAAGGTAGGGAAGCAAGTTTCATTTTCAAAACTGCGGTCTTCTTATTACCACCCAGGAAAATATCAACTCCCAGGGGCTGATTGGCCAAATGTTCACTTTACTTCCTAATATCCCTACAAAGCCATATAAAATTAGGATGTGGTCCATTCATAGAAAGGAAAAGTAACTATTAATTCTCTTGGTGATCCACATTTCTACCTAACCTAAAATCTGATGCCAAATGTCACTGGTGTTGTGAGGGTTAGTTTACAAAATAAATCTTCTCTTTTTGGTTTGTCAAATGATACTGTTATGTGCCCACATAATTTCCAAGGAGTTTCCAGGCTGATTTTTATACAGAGTCATACCTTTCCATCCACAACAGAAACATTAGCAGCTGGTGAGGATTCAGCTGTGGAGGTTGAAGGAAATATGTGAAAACTAGCATCTCTTGGTGATCTGACAATTTCATTCTGCCGATACAATCGATGATGACGCAATTTGGAGACCCACGCATCAAACCAGTCCTGGGATTTCACCTAGAACAATGAACATGAGGAGATGGTAATGGTGAAACCAATCTGTTTACCACTGACACAGGCAAGTGAATTTCCCTGAGAGTGGCAGAAAAACTACTGAAAAGTGACTTTACCTTCAAATGGTAGATGTGCTCTTCTGTGTCAAGGTCTATTCTCCGAGCTTTCTTTTTAATTGACATGACCGAGAGTCCAACATCAATGCTTCCATGGACCTTCCCCTTTTGAATCTGAAGTCAGAAGACTAGTAAATAGGCTAGAAGGATATATGATTTGATATGTTTCTGTACTGAAGTGAACTTAATGTAATCTTTAGCTTAGCTTTGGGAAATGGAATACCACACCTCTTTTACACAGAGAAAAATGGTCAAGGTCCTTCATCTGAGGGCAGTTGAAGTTCCTGTGACTTCACACCAGTTTCAATAAGCAAGACTATTCATTTCTTCATCTTCTTCTTCTTCTTTTTTTTTTTAGTTTATTTCTTTTTAGTAATCTCTACATCCAGTGTAGGGCTTGGACTCATGACCCAAGGTCAAGAGTTGCATGCTCTTCCAACTGAGCCAGCCAGGCAGCCAAGACTATTATTTCTTAGTTCTGTGGCATAATTTATAATGCTAATCTTCATAATTCTAGATTGCAAAGCTTATATCCCGAAAAAGATAGGCTTAGTGGTTCCTAAAATAACCATGGTCAATCTTTGACCCACAACCCAGAACATCCCCCAAGTAATCAACTAGAAGACAGCTGCTGAGGCAGAACCGGGCAGCTGGGACTAAGACCACAGAGCAGTCAGCGCTCACTCTGGCTGCCCTTGTCTGATCAAGGAAACGCGGCTGATTCAGTGAAAGAGATGGGGACAAACTGAAATCTGAGTCCTCTGTTATTTTCCCTCCACCACGATAAGAAGGATGGCATTTTACAGTTTTACATGCAAACAACTACTTCTTATATTAAAGATAAATACTCTGTAATAATTTTAGTGAGTTGAAATTCCCAAGATGAAAGGATGCATGAGACAGAAATGAAGTTCATAAGATAGGTTTTCAAAGGATATAGACAAGAACAAAGGTTGCTTTAAATCTCAAAAAAAGCACATGAAGCATTATTGAGAGATGCAGAAAAAAACAAAAGTCTATTTGGGTTTTCTCTCCACGACAGAAGGGGTGATTTTCACTAGTATATCACTTTTAGGTGTAACCTTCTGTTCTGAAAAACACACATCACAATTGTTAAATTAAATCTTCATGCTCCGGTTTGAGATTTTTATGCTAGCTTGAGCTTAAGCATGAAACACACCTTCCATGGGACATGGAAGTTTGGTAACTTATTAAATCTTACAGGCACAGAAAAGCACAAAGCTGGTAGCTATGCCACAAGGTGTACACAACTGTGGTGTTTACTCACTTTAAAACAATCTTTGAAACATGTCCCGTGAGCTACTTACATCAAGTGGTGCCTTGGAATACTTTAACATCCCATTATCCAGGACAAAAAACCGCTGCAAGAACCGAACAGTGGCCAGTTACCGTCTATATTTTGAATTCTATAAAACATTCACAAGTATGGGTCTAACATTGCTTGGCATTTAATAATCAATATGTTTGATCATTTTAACATATTTGAATTCAATATACCTGGCCACACTCAGTCACATTAAATGGTAAGGAAATCTGAGCTTGAATTCCACACTATTAGCTTACTAGGGTCCCTTTATGTACAACCTGATGGGGATGGAATCTTTCACCATGCTTTTCCTTGAAGGGAGTGGGCTTAGAGGATGGCATCTCGGGGCCCACAGCCAAGACTTCCTGAATGACTTCAGGTCACAGTGATTCTGTGAGGAGCTTCTCTCCAGGGAATTGTTCACTCTGGATATAAACTCCCCTGCACTTCCCTGGATACCACAGAAAATTCTTGAAAATGCTCAAGTCTGTTACAGGAGCCAGTGAATTAGATCTGTGAGTAATAAGTTATCTGGAAAGTTTAAGGAGGAGCGTTAGCAATATATTTGTATTGCCATGTAGCAAAATGCTTGCATTTCACTATTGGCAAAAGAGATTAAAAAATTTTCTGAATTACATTAAGGGTAAAAAAAGAGAGAGAGAGAGATTTTTGGCAATTTCTGTCTCCTGCAAGATGCTCTCGGGCCATCCCAAATGAATCTAGCCATTGTGGCTCCATAAACACTCAGGAAAACTGCTAATTCCCTTTCCATGGACAATTCCCAAGGGAATAAGCAGTTCTCAGGGCCCAATCAAACAATGGGTCCAGTGCCCTCTTAAGATCTCTAAACGTGCAGGGAGTCTTTTTATTGCTGGAAAATTTCTCTGCTGGGAAGGTTTTATGTGATTCAGGACCACCTGGCTGCTGAGGTGTCAGGTGGTCAAGCACAGAACTCAAAGAAGGCCATGAAAACACTTTTCAGACAGGTTCTGGGAGGCAACAAGCAAGCACCCGAAGAAAGCATCACGACAGCTGAAAAAGACTTGATTACTCAATCACCCATGACTTGGGCAATCAAATATGCTGATGCTTAAATAAATATCTGATGGTGCTAGAGACCAGGAGAAAAGGTAACCCCAGTTGAGAACCTCCTACTATTGGGGTAGAAAAATGCTCAAAGGTTTGGCTCAGAAAAAATGGCTGTTGAACCACTGAGATGTGGATCTGAGATATTAAATTAAAGTTAGTGATTCATGTAACATTGGTTTCTTTGACTTCTTTTCTCTACTTTTCCATTTCTACCTATCAAAGAATGTTAGCAGGGATAACCTTTTGTGTGATCATGGGGGAAGAGATTAGCAAGGCCACTGATTCGAGGAATTGCAAAGTGGTGAGGCCAGAATGAAAAGCAAAAGGTGATTCTAGGAAAGAGTATGGTCAGCTGGCCAAAATCCAAGGAAGAACAAGGGTGGAAAGAAATCTTGGTATTGGGATGATATTATGGGTTCAAGGGAGACTGAGAAGGCTTCTGACAGGAACATTAGTCAGAAGCCCCCTTCACTTGTTTTTATTTCACGTACAGAATCAGGAAAGCAGGGCATTTGCCGTCTGTTAATTTTTAAGTTTTTCCCTTAGACTGTAAAAAACTGTATTTCCAAAGGAATCTATAATCCATAACATCCTGTTTGGGGCCGCTTGGAGAGCCATCAGCCAGTCATTTGGGCCAATAGATCCATCTGCTCTAAGATGAAATCCATCAGCAGATAGGGCAAGTACATGAACCTGCTCTTCCAGTGATTTTAGAGAAGCTACCGGTGGTCTATCGAAGGGTCTATTGAAAATGGAGGATAATTTTCTCTTTCTTAGCATCACAGAGTTCTTGTTACTTGGGTAACTGCAATGGTGTAGTACAAAATATTTTCTCCATAATTAAAACAGGAAGATGGAAAAAGGATTTAGGATGGGGAGAGAGGAATAAACCACATGCTTTTCAGGACAGTAAAGAGACTTCCAAGATCAGTGATTTTCCATCTTTAGTTTGCATTGGTAACAGTAATTCCAGGACTTTATTCCAAGGATGTAAATGGAAATTTGTGTATAAGGATGTTCATCAGAACATCATAATAGTAAAAAAAAATCAGATACATCCTACACGTCCGGCAACAGGGAATTGGTTCAATAATGGTGAGGTATATATTATAGATCCATCTAATGGAACAGAACATATGCATGCATTCAAAAACATCTTATTTTGGAGAATATTTAATAAGCATATATTCATATTATTCTTTTTCTATATCTATATTATTTTTAAATGAAAAAAGTAAAATAAACAACATGTACAAACTGGGTTTTAAATATAACATATGTTTTCCCTGCATACAGATATTACTGACCTCAGACTTAAATGGGTATAATGGGTTGTAGCCCAAATGGTTAAACAAAAAAAGGCTTTGAAAATTAGTTTTACACATACAACCATTCTCTTCATTTCCCACCTAATGACACCAAATAAGATCGTCTCTATTGACGAAGATGGTCTCAAGATGAATATGATGAAAATGGTACCTTGTGCCAGCCTTTTAAAGGCCATTTTCTTTTCTTCAGCATAAAGCCTTCATGTTTGTCTGGTCTCTGGACATTGGTTTGGCCTATTTTCAGCCCTTCTATAATTTCCCAGCTGTCAGCTTCCTGAGAGAAAAGAAGAAAAACAAATCACATGTTTCTCTGTGTTTGATGACACAGTCAAAGCGGACTCTTAAGTAGAAGCCGCTTTTGAAGCAACACTGGACACATCGGAAGTCTGAACCACATTCTGGAGCAAATTCTAACATCAGACACAGCGACGCACTTGTAAGTGAAGTTAAAATGAGTTTCCAGGTAGACCTGGATGTATGCGGGTCCATCAGAGATGGGTTGGGAGCTGGGGCTTGGAGCAGAATGGAGTTTTGATTGTATGTATTCAGAAGACTTAAAATGCATTTTTCCAGACAGTTCATCTCTGGGCACAAAGGCACTTTAACATTTTAAAGTGAGGCTGTTTTGATGACAAATGTTCAATTAGTGTGGAGACCTGGCCTCCTGTATAAAATGGAAAGGCTGCAGTGGTCTGAGTGGCCCATCACCTACCCAGCTAAAAGCACGGCTGCGGGCTGCACGGATTTCAGAGTGTACGTGAAATGCCCTGCTCGCCACAGGACACCCAGAAGTCCATGCTTTTGGAGACACATATCCTGAGAAACACTCACGCTTGGGCACCCATGGAAAGAGCACCAGACTTGAAAGCCAGAAGTCTGGGATTTTAAAGGCTACACTATCACCCTCCTCTGTTAAAAATAGGCCAAATCATGGTTTCCTCTTTCATAGGAATGTTTTGTTTTGGCTATGAATATAAATTTTTTAATGAGTTGTCAACATTTAAAAGTCAGATTTCAGGTATAAAAAATCTGAGTTTTGAGTGTTTTGTTCAAGTTTATCAGATCTGGCAGCACTGGGCCTGCCCTGAGGGATGGCTCTCCAGACGTGTTCAGTTTGCCACAGTCCCTCCCCAGGCCCGCTTCAGTGTCAGATGCCTGGCCCTCAGCGACATCCTGGGTACGCAGCCCTGAAGTAACCGCTGACCTGGCAACCACTCCCATTCGAGATCTCAGGCATGTTGTCACAAAGTAAGCAGTAGAGGCAGGAGCAAACGTCAGGTCCCATGCACAACTGCTACGATACTGCGTCCAGTGCAGGGAAGCACAATCTCTCGGTGTAACCTGCTCTGCTGCCTCAGCTTCAGAGAGCTGGATGAGCCCACAGATCGGGGCAGGCATCTCTGCAGAATGCCCCCTCCCAACCGGACTCAGGAAACTGCCTTCCGAAGAGAAATAGTCTATCAGGAATCATCCTTCAATTACACAACAAAGGCTCAACAGGAACTGATGGGATCCACCTGGGGAGCGATGGACTTGCTGGCACAAGTGTCTAGGTGGTGGCCGCCCGGAACCTGCTGAAGGACTGTGAGGCTCTGACAAGGCCCAGAGGCAAAGGTGTCATGATCGGTTACTGACGTTGGCCCTGGGGACAGGGAGGGAGAGGCTAGCATATGTATCATCCATTCCTCTTTTCCTTTTTCGCTCCTTCCATCTCAGAAGCTGCTTGCCCTATGGCCAAGTCAAATCTATGTTTAAGTCTAAGTAGGTAGAAATGGGGGGGTGTTTTTTCACAGTAAGTTATGTTTCTAGGAGGTGCAGCTGAACAATGCTTCATTCTAGCATTGCTAAGCCTAGGAGACACTCCTGGGTTATGAAAAGCCCTCTGAGCCTACATCATGCCTCTGTCCTCCCAAATCCAACTCTAAGTGTCCCCTACCCCACAAGGAAAACCAATCTGAGACCAGAGTCATTTATTTATCTACTTGGTCATCCCTGAGGGGTCCCCAGTGAATGAACTATTTACCTTACAGAAACAGAACTAGTGACACTCGTTTAGCAACATTAAGAACCCTTTACAGTATGTGCTAGTGTCTCCTTAAAAAAAATCTTGCTTCGGATTTTGTGTCTCCTTCTCTCTCTCTTCCTCCTCTGCTTGCACTCTGTCTCTCTCAAAAATAAAGATTAAAAAAAAAAGAGAGTTGGACACTTAACTGACAGACCCACCCAGGTACCGCCAAGAAATAATATTCTATTTAAAGATAATACTGTCATGACCTGTGGTTGAGCTGGTCAAAACTGTTAATTAGATACAGTAACGTTTTTCTGACATATATATTTTAAAGTTTTTATTTAAATTCCAATTAGTTAACATATAGCATAACATTAGTTTCAGTAGGATGTTGTGATTCATCACTTACATACAACACCCAAATGCAATAATTTTTAAAAAAATGTTTCCGATGAAGCAATTTCAGGCTGTATACCACAAAATTTGGACAATACCAGTACAGGTGGCATTATCATCTAGAGCACAAAGTGGGGTGCTCTGGTATTCCCATTTTAAAATACTGAACTACACCTCAACAAGTGAGCATTGCTTAGGAATAATGTTGTATCATCAGAGAAGATACTAGGTTCTACTCTCACCAAGAAAGTAGATTTAAAAATTTCATAAAAATGATGGATTTCTACTGATTTCTTTTTAAAAGTTTGCTATAATCACATAATTAAAGAATAACTCTCTGTATATGTGTAAATACATTCATTAGAGCTTTCTCTGTTCTTAGACAGCAGCTGTATTTAATGACATTTCTATTTTTAGTAGCCCTATGTATAGTATCTCTAGAATAACATTTTTATTTTTAACTAGATGTCATTTGAAGGCTGTTCATTTTTCATTTATTCTGTGTGTGTGTGTGTGTGTGTGTGTGTGGTATGTGTGGTATGTGGGTATATATACATGTATGATCTCTGTAGTGTATGTGTATACATATACAGTAAATAAAAAATAAAGTAATATATATATATATGATGAAGAAAACTGGATAACTTGTAAAAAAGGAAACATTTAATAATAAGTATAATGCTTTTTGGATTTTTTTTCTAATTAAACTCAGACCATAATACCGGCTTGTTCCTGTGGTGCTATGGCTATTGATTTCTAGTACAGTAGTGTTTTTCTTAGTTTAACTACAGAGGAGGGAAATAAAGGGATAAGACAGAAAAGGCAACAGGTTAAAATGTATTTCTTAAACATAAATGCAGTAGCTCTGAACAAATAACTCCATTTGCTTTGATCCAATCTCACTAAACCCAAAGAAACTGAAAAGAATCCTACTACAGTTCTCATAGTTAAATAGGCTGTCCAGCTGACAAAGAGGCCAAAAGGTAAGCCCAAACAACATTCTCCGTTTCAATTATAACTGCAGATGATAATGTTACAAATAAGGTGTGTAAGAAATGAAAACAGCCCATCTCTGTACTTAATACGACCCACCTCTATGCTGAGTAGACTAGGTCTATCTTAAGGAACTTAAAATTACTTCCTGAAAATTGAAGAATTTTTTGTAATTTCAAAGGATATTAATTTTCTGTTTAAAAGTCTCCAATTTTCATAGGTTTATTTATAAATAGAAACAGAGTCAAAAGCCCTAATGTGATCATATTGGGACTTGACTTGAGTCAGATACGCAAACATTTTTGCTATTACAGAAATTTAAAATATACTTTTAATCTAATAATAACTAAAACCAGAAAGTAGCCTAATAACAGTCCTCATATGTTCATCTGAGACATTTTCTTTCTCAAGGGTATATTCCAGAGGCATGAGTGTGGGGCTGGGAGTAGAGTGGTACATCAATGTGCTTTAGGAGGTGAAAGCACCAAACTAAGGATTTCAACAAATCCCAAGTCAGGACAACATGTACTTCAAACAATGTTCTTCTAGTGTCAACCAGGGCCCAGGAAGTCCATCTCTTCTCAAAGGGATGGTGAGATGCTCTGGTATCTGGAATGGATGGGACCCTCTGATTTCATGAGGCCCTGAGTGATGTGATATTAATACAAAACACACAACAACAACAGTGTAATTCTAGAGCAAGATCTGAGCGGGCAACAGCATGGAGGAGTAATGGGAAGTGGATACTGTTGGCGCCCTACCCAGATGCCTTTCAGAGCCCCGGGGACCAACGCGCCAGCTGTGGAAGTCCCCTCCTTCTACCGTGAACTGCCATTTACTGCAGCTGGGGCCGTTGTGCCTGGGCATGAATCCCCCTCCTCCATGGCTGGGGCATCTACACCTCACCATCTCCCTCCCTCAAGACTCAATTGCTGAAGGGCACAAAAATACCAACAGCTGAGGGAACAAAAATCCCTGCCTCAGAGTAAGAGCAACTCTGATACAATTCATGCTCCAGGGCTCACCGTGGGATGGGACTGAAGGTGGACTCTGGCCAAAACTCCTTCTTGCCAGCATCGCGCTGCCCTAACCTCTTCTCTTACCCTTTCTCCAGAGGGCACTCCCACTATAACTCACAAACACCCTAAGGCCAGTCTCAGGTCATCCTTCTAGAGGACCTGATGTAAGAAAGGATGTAACATAAAGTAATAGGTGTGGGAAGTGCAGGGACAGGCTGGGGCGGAGGGGGCATTGGGGTAGGGAGGTGATGAACAGCATCTGCAGGATTCCTGGGGGCCCTGACTTAGAAGAGTAGGGGTTTCAGCTAGCGGCACTCCAGAAGGAACGGCCATGTGGCAGTGGAGGAGAGAAAGAGCATGGCCAGTGTAGGGAACTGTGTGCGGGTGGATGTAGCTGGAGTATAAAGTGAGATGCCACAGAGGCTAGAGATGTAGCTGGTGGGAGATGAAGGACCAAAGCAAGTCTTGTGTGCATTTGCTTCTTATTCTTCTTATTTTACTTACTAGATCACCAGTTTATTATAAAAGGATATAACTCAGGAAGAGCCAGGTGGAAGGGACACAGAGGGCAAGGACAGGGAAAGGGTGCAGAACTTCCATGCCCTCCGCAGGTATGCCAATCCTCCAGTGCCTCCCTGTGTTCACCGACCAGGAAGTTCCTCCTTATTTGTGATTTTCATCCTAGTGATTCTCCTTGCCGTTTGTGTGTGTCATTCTCTTTTCACTGTGTACCTCTCACCATCCTGGTCTCTGTCACACACCTCTCAGCTCTCTGACTGTGGACAACTAGCTTACTTAGGTGCCAAGTCCCAGTTTCCTCATTAGTAAAATGAGAAGAATGTCAGTAGTCACTTCATCGAGTAGGCTGATTGTGTGAGAGACTATATGTACTGATCCAATGACTGAGACAAAGTAGATGCCCAATAAAAGGTAGTTGCTTTTCCCATGGCCCCAGTATTTATTTATTCTCTCTCTCTGTTGGCTGCCTGTAAAAGAGAGCTGATATTTTCAAAGAGATTACTAGTTGTATTTACCAAGTAGCTATTCAAATAGAAATCAGGTTACTTTCTATTTCCCTCTAAATTATTTTTTAAGTTTAGTACCCCCCTTTCCTTAGTTTAGCAGTCTACTCCTGTCCAATAACACAAACTTCATAGCCTGTAATATCTCCTAAATATGAAGAGCACAAGCACATATATTCCATACCACTTGGGTAGGGAAGTGTTCTTTCCTTAAAGGATTCTGTTTAATATAGGAAAAGCAAAGTGGAAGAATCAGGTCAACATATTTCAAAGTCATTTTGGGGAAATAAAGTGCTATTTTTCTATTTGAACTCAAAATCCCCATGCAGTCTATTTGCTGAGCTTCTCTGCACGACAGACAGCCCACTGAAGATTGTAGGGAGTCGAGCAAGGGGTGGGGGTGAGCAGGACGGCCTCTCCTCAGCTTTTCTTTACGATTTTTGCATTTCAGGCATAAATGAATTTAGATGTTTCCCTAGTCCAAGAAAGACAAGACTGAAGCGGGAGAATGCTGGCTTCCATTAAACGGAAGAGGTCTTAATAATGTGTAGTGTTCTGTTCAGAGCTCACTGCGAGGCAGGCCAGATGTAAGGGGGAGGCTGGAACCCTCAAGTCCAACAGCCCCTCCGGGTAGGTACTATTTTACTTGCAGGTGGCCTAGAACTGAAACGGTCTAAATCTGACTCCCTGCTCTGCTACTTTTTCTACTTGCTGCTAGCTTTTTCAGACTTTGAGCAAGTTACTAATTCTTGGTTTCCTTATTTGTAAATGTAATAAATACCTCCACTGCATGGAACTGTTTGCAAGGGTTATGGGATGATACATTTAAGCATCTGGCACAGTGCCTGGTGCCCAGTGCAGGGGCCATCATGGTAATAGTTGTTACCGCTGGTGGTGGTGGTGTTATTTTTTTGTTTTTTTGTTGGACCCAGTGATTTTTTCCTCCCTATTGGCTTGGCATAGAAATATTTGTTTATGTCTCCAACGGGGGAATGATAATACTTTCTGTTCCTTTAAAATCAAGAGTATTTTGGATCTTTGTAACCTTGCAAGTCCTAGCAAAATACACCTTCATGGATTCCTTCCTTCCACAGGGCAGAGAAACCTTACATACTGGAGGCAGAAAGATGTGTTAGCACAGCGCTACATCAGGTATCACAGATACCTCAGGGGAGTCAGGTGTAAGACCTGTTTACAATTCAGCTGGCCCAGAGCAGGCATCAAGCTGTCTGAGAAGGCACCACATTCCGCCACTGACCTTGGAGAGGGGGACCGGCTCCGGTTCTAGCAACTGCCGACTTACAGAGGGCTCGGTGCTGGAGGAAGCAGTCCTCTCCAGGACGTGGATACTCTGAAAATAAATGGAAATACAGCCCACGGTGAGGCAGCCCATTTTTCATGTGGATGGACATGGGAGTGAGATCACACAGATCACAGTAAACACAGTGAGCCATGGTAACGATGGCAAGTTCCTGAGGAGACCAAAAGCAGCAGCAACAGTCAGAAAAACGTCAGCACAGGATTTTGTTTTCCCCTCTTACAGATATGTTACACAATGGCTGGTTTGTCTTAGAGAAGAAGTCAGAGATTGCAGAAATTTAAAAAACCATAGGACATGCCTCAACATATTTATTACTTTACAAGAATGGACATCCACCACATAGACAATTAGCCTTACATAAAAATATTTGCTTACCTCTCCGAGGGCAACAGACAAAAGGGAAGGTCTACATCAAAAATCCCAGAGCCTTAATACACTTAATCTCTAGAGTTTCTTACAATCCTTATGAAATAATTATAACTGTAATATCTTACAATAATTCTTAAATGCACAGAGAAGAAAATGATTCATCAAATACAATAAACAGTAGATGTGTGTTATAGACTATAAAAAGCACTCACAGATCAGTGACTTTCCAATAGAAAAATAGCAAAGTACATGAACAGGCAACTCATGCAGGGCATTTGAAAAGATGTTCAACCTCAACCTCAGAAGTATTCAGATATGAAAACCAAAATAATAATTTTTAAAAAAAATCATTAGATTCAAGAATAGATCAGATGGGAGAAAGGGGGTATAAATCAGGTATGATCTTTCTAAAGAGGAGCCATTTTATTAAAAACTCTTTGGAAAAAGAAGAACATGCCTCATTGACTTAGCAATCCCACAGCTAAATCTTTACCCTAAAGGAATCAGATCTGGCATAAAAAGATATAAGGACAGATAGTTTACTAGAGCATTATTTTATTATAGTAAAAAATATCTAACACATATGAGACTAGTACAGACTTATGAGGCAACTCCATGCAGTGATTCAAAATGACAATGTGGATCTATATCTACTGATATGGAAAAAATACCCCTGATGTTCTATCAACTGAAAAATCAGGCTATCAAGAGTAAGTAGAATATGATGATGCTATACATATAATCAAAACATGGTCGGGGAGTCTGATTGGCTCAGTTGGTTAAGCGTCCGACTTCGGCTCAGGCCATGATCTCACAGTTTGTGGGTTCGAGCCCCACGTCGGGCTCTGTGCTGACAGCTCAGAGCCTGGAGCCTGTTTCAGATTCTGGATCTCCCTCTCTCTCTGATCGTCCTCCCCTGCTCACGCTGTCTCTATCTCTCTCTCAAAAATAGATAAAACATTAAAAAAAAATTAAAAAAAAAGAAAAGAAAAAAAAAACATGGGGGCGCCTGGGTGGCTTAGTCGGTTAAGCGTCCGACTTTCGCTTGGGTCATGATCTCGCGGTTCGTGGGTTCGAGCCCCGCGTCGGGCTCTGTGCTGACTGCCAGCTCAGAGCCTGGAGCCTGTTTCAGTCTGTGACTCCCTCTCTCTCTGACCCTCCCCTGCTCACGCTGTCTCTCTCTCTCTCTCCTAGAAATAAGTAAAACATTAAAAAAAAAAAAAAAGGTTTAAAAAAAAAAACATGGTCCGTTAATGTTAACAGCAGCTACATAAAAGTGATAGGATTATAGGTGATTTTAATTTTTTCTTATGTTTTAATGCAATAAGTAGATATCACTTGTGTATTTGGGAAAAAGTATTTTCTATGGGGGAATAAACCTGAAAGACATCAAAGAAATGACTCACTAGAGTTAATATTTATGTGTAGGCTGAAAATAAAAAGTAACTTTTTTACTCTAGTTAGAACATTTCATTGTTTCAATAGATGAGGTCAGTATTTCATTTACTTATTGAGGCCTCTGTTTTGGATATCTCACTGGAAAATTATTAGATTAATATTTGCTTTTTCAAGAAGAAAATTACACTCCAACGTGAGCCAAATTATTGTATTTTCTTGGTAAGTTTTCAAGCTTTTGGTTATTCTATTACCTTGAGAACAAAGTGTCTGATTACAGATTTTTGAAATCCTCCCCAAATGCATTTTTAAAATCATTTAGTAGAGAATAATTAGGGCACCTGGGTGGCTCAGTCAGTTAAGCATCCGACTTCGGCTCAGGTCATCATCTCACAGTTCATAAGTTCGAGCCCCACCTGGTGCTCTGTGCAGACAGCTCAGAGTATGGAGCCTGCTTCAGATTCTGTGGCTCCTTCTCTCTCTGCCCCTCCCCCACCCATGGTCTGTCTCTCAAAAATAAATGTTTAAAAAATTTAAAAAAGAATAATTACAGTGAACAGTTTATGAACTGTTCCCCATTTCTCCAATTTTGAGGAAATAGAAGAAATAAGAACAGATATTTTGGGACCAAATATAAAGTTGGGCAGCAAGAATTCCTAATCTGACAGCTATAGTGTCCAAGGATAATCTAAGCATTAGCTGAGACTCTGTTCTTCCCATTTCTGGATTTATCTGAAGGAGCAGAGAAAAATGATAAGCGTAGCTCAGTATCCATATTTGTGCCAGTGCCTTTTTGAGACAGTCAAAAGCAAAGACATCTTACGGAGTGAAAAACCGGTGAAGTGTGTTCAGATCTTAGACAAAAAGGGAGCAAATGACCCAGGACTTGAATTATTGATATTTTGGATAGGATCTTATTCAAAACATATCAGCTAAATTTAAATTTTAGATGTATTCTGAGATCATTTAATTAGAAACTAAACTGAGAATTGTGTTGTTGTTGAAACAGGATATTAAGGGGTACTTGGGTGACTCAGTTGGTTGAGTGTCTGACTCTTGATTTCAGCTCAGGTCATGATCTCAGGGTTGTGGCATTAAGCCCTGTATTGTGCTCAGCACTGAGCATGGAGATTGGTTGGGATTCTCTCTCTCCCTGCCCTTCCCCGTCCCACCCAGCCCCCCCAAAACAAAACAAAACCCAAGAATGTTATTACCTTCTTCTGGGAGGTAAGTGTCCCACCTCCCAGAAGAAGGCAATAATATTCTTGGGGTTTTTCATTTTCTTTTTTATGTTTTAAAACAACAAAACTAATATACGCTCAAAAGATTCAAACACAACACAGAAATACAGAAAAGGTCAAACTTCCCGCTCCTTTGCTGCTCATCACTCTACCTGCTAGCTTCTAGAGCAGTGATTCTCAAAAGGTAGTCCATGAACAGGGGAGTCCCCAAGGCTCTTTCAGGGTGTCTGAGAGGTGAAAACTCCTTTTATAATACTTCCAAGAAGCTACTTGCCTTTTTAAGTCTCATTTCCTCATTAACGTACAATGGAGTTTTTCAGAAGATATATAACATGTGATATTATAACATATGAAACAGAAGCCGACTGAGATGCTAGTTGTTTCTACTGTCAAACATCAAAAAAATGTTTTGCAAAAATGTAAAATATTATAATTATTCTCACTGAAATTTATTTTGGTAATATTGTTTTTAAAATAAGAAATATTATTTTTATTTATTTTGAAATAAAAAATGGGGAGTCTTTTATTTTTAAATATATTAAGAAATATTAAATTTTTTATCCACTTTAAATCTAATATAGTAAATATAGACAGACATAATCCACATATACACAAACTCTTTGAGGTCTTCATTAATTTTAAAGAGGGTAAAGGGCTCCTGATGTCAAAAGTTTGAGAACTGCTATTCTAGGAAAACTACTATAAGGTTTTGTGGTTATTGAAATGGAGAATTCTGACTTGCACCTAAGTTATTCTTTTTCTCATAAGGCTTTTTTTTAGGAAAATAATTAAAAAAACACTAACACATTTCAAAATTTATTTAAAACTACTTGATCCACCTTAAGCTAAATTACGTAAATCTACTCATTAATAATCCCAAACTATCTGGACACATTACATAAACTGGTAAGAGGAAAACAAATTGTGTTTCATGTACTCTTCAAATATATCTGAGAAAACCTTCTCTAATTGTAAATTCTATGAAGATAAAAAACTGTGAAAGCAGTTTTCTTTTCTTTTTTTTTTTTTTAGCGTGTCCAGTGTAATGTTTTTTTTTTTTTTTTTTTTTTTTTTTTTTTTTTTTTTTTTTTTTTTTGTTTTTTTTTT